ATTTTATATTTCTTGTGAATGTTCATATGACTAATGAAATAAAATTACCAGCTCTTTCTATACATTCTAAATTTATTTAGTTTTTTTAGAATATTAGAAATCTTTAAATCCAAAAATTCTAAAATGAAAAGGAAATGTATTGAAGAAAGGAACTGAATGCATAAAGAGAAAGAAAATTTTTCTTCAAAGATATGTACAGTTACTGATACATAAATTACCAATTGCTTATAATTTCAGCCTTTACTATAATTTCTCATTTCGCTCTCCTGACCAGAATGACTTGGACAGTTTTTAAACTGAGGTTTTTGGAGTGTAAGACAGGATGTGTTTCTGACCTCCGCCTCTTTGCTCCATTAGTTCATGCCAACTCTGATCATTTGTAACTACTTTGGATTATCACTGCTGACATTTCAATTTGTTATGATGTTAGAGTTACTGAGCTAGCATAAATTTAAATATGTATTTTAACTTTTACCAAACAGGTACATTGTGAAGAGATTTACAAGTTAGGAGATAAAGCATGCAGAAACTATTGAGAATATTGGTTTACATATTGAGGCAAATTTCTGATTGTTAAAAAAGATGCTTAGGAAATTGATATAAATTAGCCAAAGTTTGTGGAAAGGCTTTAAATTAAAAGGAAGCATAAATATTTTGTTGAGTGTTGTTGCTGCAAAACACAAATGTTTTGTAGGTTTTAATGTGTAATTATGCTAATATTGTTTAAGAAATAATGTCATAAATTGCATATATTTAAAACTGTGAAATTTTATTAGATTGGGATTTTAATAGGGCTTTAAATAAATAAAATCTAATAGTGATCATGTAAATCCGTAAGGACAAAAGTTATCTAACTACTAATTAAATTAAATTATTTATAACTAACTGCTTACCCTTAAAAATTGTCTCTGCATATTAAAGGGAGTTATTACGTTTCATTTATCCTTACCATAGTTACAAGATAAAACTTTAAAATGTAAAATTCATGTAAAACTTATTCTTCGCATTTAGTGAGACTTGAAATAATACAAAACAACTTATCACTCTGGTGCTTTGGCTTATCGGAACCTTAAAGTATATTACCTGGGTTACAACCCCTGGAACTCTACAGAAACTACAACACTAACTGCATCAGACAGAGCCCAACTAACTTTCAAAACTTGCCAACCGTGCCTAGATCAGACTCTTCAGGTTTGTTCTGATCAGCAGGTCTCTCTGCAAACAGCAGTGGTGACAACAGCTAGTCTTTGTTATGAATCATGCATTTTTACTTCTCATTTTAACCTATGCTGCTTGACGTAAAATCTATCTGCTATTTAAATCTCCAGACTGAGCAAGTATGTGACAAAATGAGACACAAAATTAATCAACATAAAGCCAACTGTTTGTAAAATGAAAATAAAATGTCACTTATCTTCTTTCAAATATGTCCAACTATTATAAGTGTAAAATATTTAATGCTACCTGATAAATTTTATAAAGTTGATTTTATTCTCAAATTTGTTTTATAATTACGTTTAATAATAATGCATTCTATTTGTGGATCTGTTTTACTCATGGGATGGTATCACAAAAGTAAAATTCAGGCATAGATAATATCTTGAATTGAATTTATTCAGCTCTCATTTGCTAAAAGGTCCTTAATTTTTTCATTGATAGTCCTTAATTTCCATGTGCAGAAAAGTGTACGAACCCCTGTATTCTTTATAAATTTAAAAAATAGCTTTTCATGTATTATTAATAAATATTTATTATACATTATTAATAAAAATGAAAAATAAAGGAATTCCCTGTGAGCTATCCTTAGTAAAAGTACGTCTGGAAATTTAAGGTTCAAAATAATTGTTGAAATCAATTCAAAATTATAACAAAGTGTGTAAACTACATTTGGTGTTATCGTTTATAACAAATATGCCAATTTCGAATGAAAAACTCATAATTTTTATGTAGGTATGCTTAGAAATACATATATTTTGCAATGATGATAAATATTTTATAGAATATAATTCAAAATGGTTTTTGAGAAATTTATGGAAATTATTTAAAAATACAAATCTTAAAAAAATAACTCATAAAAACGGTGCGAATTTTATTAAGATCGAACCTAAATGTCGAATTCTAAAAGGAACCATTTAACACATTTTGTACGGTCTATCTAACATATGCAACTATGTTGCTTAGCGGTAATATGAATAACAGTAATATACAATACAATATGGAAACTTCATAAATGCAGTGTTATCAACTAATGTGATGAGGGATATGTAGATGACTCAGCACATAAGAGATATTTATACAACTTGATTACAAATAAGTTGACTAAGTTAAATATCTATTCTAATAAAAACTTACCAATTCATACATTATATAAAACATTATTTTTTCCCTTGTGTCTTTCGTCAACCATCCAAGTGTACATTTCATTACCAGTTATTACTTAAAAAGAAAAATACATAATAAAGAAATAATACCCCCCTTAAATTATGCAGGACCCAAAAACAAACTAATTTTTTTATCTGTTGTTCTTCATGAATATTTTTATTTATAACTGAAAATCCAATGTTAAATTCCTTCTGTATCATTTGATAGGTATAGCGATTATTATTAAAATTTTTCACATGGCACACATATTTTCTGGGACTACAGCTGACAAAAATCTTCCTGTGTGTTCTTTACCCAGAAGAGAATTTTGACTTCTGTGAAATTCTGTAAACCATCTGAAAGTGGCACAAGATGGAGCTTTAATTCTACATGTTAATTGTAGACCTAGAAGTCGTTCTTTTTTATTCCCACGTTAAAATCATAGCACAATAATGCTCTTTATCAGCTGTGTTTCCTTTTCTGTAAAAATTTATTTTATGATAGATAAATTTACATAGCTATTTTTATAGTGCATATTATCCACCCCTGTCTAAAAAATTTTACAGGTACTTACATATATGTATCGGATTTTAACGAAAGTTTCCCACATTGTCTGCACAAACAGTTCACATTTCCATGTTTAATCATATTTGTCAAACGATTTTTGATATTTGAAAGAAAGAGACTTGCTTTAGAATACTGTGTTGTAAAATTTGTAAAAAGGTATTATCATTAGGTACAAACAAGGTGTCTGAAATGGAACTATCATGCTACCAGATTAGAACCATCATTTACTTCCAGTTCTGATGCAAAGTCTGCTACAAAATGTCATAAAGACAAGTGTACAAGCTTTAGGTACTAATGTTGCAATTATATAAAACTGTGATGGTTTGGTACTAGAAGTTCAAAAACAAGGCCTATGACATTCAAGAAAAAGAGTGCTCTGGCCAGCCTCTGAAAACTTGTGAAAGAAGATCAGTATGCAACTATTTGAGAGCTTACTAAGGAGTAAGATGTTAGTTCCATGTCCATTAGCCGCGCTATGCATTGCATAAACTTGATGTACAAGTTTGTGTTAGGGCCTGCACTAATCTACTCAGATATCAATGCAAGGATAAAATTCTGGACCGGATCGCCACTTTTGATGAAAAGCGAATTTACTTCAACAACACATACCAAAAGGGGGGAGTTGGTCTATGCCCGGTGAACCCATTGACAGCATTGGAAAGCGCAGTTTGACTAACAAAAAGATCATACTTTGTATCTGGTGGGACTGCTGTGGTATTATCCGCAAAGAGCATCTGAAAAAAGGTAAAACCTTCGACAGTAAGGTGTACAGAGAGCTGGTAGTTCGTGTTGATACTGCTAACAAGGAAAAATGTCAAACTGAGTTCCCACGCAAAAAGGGGATGTTCCATCAGGATAATGCAAGACCACATGTGTCTGCACTCACCAGCTGAACTCTATACGAACTTGAATGGGATCTTTTGACACACCCATGATTGCTCCTTTGGATTTCTACCTTTTTTCATACCTGCAGCTACATCTTGGTGGTACTATTTTCCATTCTGCACAGAATGTCCAAAATAAGGTTGATCTGTTTTGGGACTTGCGACCACCAATTTTCTGGGCCGAAGGCTTTGAAAAACTACTAAAACATTGCCAGAGAAACATAGATTTGGTGATTACTACGTGCACTAAAGGTACTGTTTTCCTCTTTTTTCTAACTTTATTAAAAATGTTTTTTGGGCGAAAAATTTTCATTAGAACAAGATATATATTACCTTACACTATGACAGAATTTTATTGTTTTTTCTTTATAACCTCATGCTTTATAATTGAGGAACTGGATTTTTTTAGATTTGTTAAATTAATGAAACATCTGTGAATTCATTTTGAGAGTCAGCGTCTTCAATTAATGAGGAGATGATTTTCCCTATTTTGTCAATTGAAATGTCCATGAATTTTAAAATTCTATTTAAATCTCAGAGATCTAAATTTTCAAAGTATTTTAAACAGACTAAAGCCAAGATAAAAAAAATAATTTACATAATACCAGTAAGTTATGAATATAATAGTAGCATTAAATATTTGAAGCTGGAATATATGCATCATATTCTTAAACTGAAATTTCTATTATAAGTCTTTTTTGAACAGTTGCTTTAAAGGTGTATAAACAGTACTTTAGCATGGAAGTATATACATATATATGCATCAAAGTACATATGATGTAATTATTTTGATGATTTTCATAAACATTTCTTATTATTTAAGTAATCCAATTGTTGTTATTGAGTACTAGCAACTGTGAAATTTGTACATGCCCACATGTGATTTAGTTGACTTTAAAATATGTTACTGAAATAGGCATCAACATGTGCTGTGTTGGGCACCTGCTAAATATTTTCATAGAGTTAATCAAGATTAATTTTTTCTCCACAAAAATCTTATATTCTCATTTTCTAATCAAATATTCAAATTTTAATTAACTTTTATTTTAGGAAAATGTTTTTTCAGATTGCTCTTCTAAAAAAAAAATTAAGAGTTAACCGTTAAGTATTTGAAATTCAAAATTTAATGATGATTATTTATTAAATTTAGTGTTTATGACATTTTGTTTCATTATGAGCTATAAAAAATTTCAGTAAAAATTTTATTATTGAGTATAATACATAATAATAGCCAACAACTGTACAAAACATTCAATCATAGCATGTGACAGAAACACTTAATGAACTTTAATTAGAATAATGCCAGCTTTCATTTGATTTTAATTAAAAGTCCACTCAAAATAAAACAATATGATTCAGTTTCTTTATTAAATAAAGGCCAGGGAAAAAAGAGATCATAAATGCCTCTTACTACACATGCATTTTCATTAAATGAATTAATATTTGTATTTTATTTCTAAACACAAATTTTTATATTAAAATTGCCTTTAAAGAGTTTAAATAACTTCAGGTACAACTTTTTCAAAATATTTTATATTCTTAAGAACTAAGGAAAGCTTAACTTTTTAGAGGTGTGGAATAGAAACGACATATTTTTAATAGTAAAATTACTGAAGTATTTCATAGTGTGAAACTATTATTCTCTCCTTCAACTTGAAATTTTAGTGTTAATGGAATGTTCCTAAATGTGTGTTGGTTATATTAAAATTGTAACTTTTTACAATGCATGTATTGTTTTTTTTTCTTCCATTTGTAAGCATATGTAACCTCATGTTCAGTAGTTCTAAATATCTAACTTTTAATATGGCAAAACTAGATCAAGGTTTTAATTTTTAAAACTCTGATCTTAGTTTATAAGCTCTTAGCTTTCTTCTAATAATTAGCTCACTTTAAAGTAATATTAACTAGACCATTCATATTTATTAATAACTAGACCATTCAGTATTTTTAAAGATTATCCAGGTTTAGCAGCTTTCTGGTGTTCAAATTTTGGATAGCAACTCCTTGCACTATTCCAAGTTCTCTCTCCAGATGTTAAATCCTGAATCAGGGGTACAATTTGGTCTAACTGAAAAAGAGTGAAAGAGTAACATATATTAAAAGAATATAATTTGTTCACATAAAAACAGTTTACAAAATAAGAGCCAATAAGTATTAAAGTATATAAGGTCTATCCTAAAAGAAATGAGACACATTGTGGTATTAAAGCCATATTTTTATTCAGATTTAAGGTATAAAATTATGGCGCAGTTTAAATTAAAAGCAATTTATCATCTTCAGTAATTGGGCTTTAAATAACTAAGGTCAAATTAGAATTAAAATAAGGGTAAAAATAAAAATGATTTTATTGCAATTTTAAAAACCTCCTGTGACTTAAATTTCATGTAAAATGTTAATTATTTATGCAACTGACTTCCGTCTTGTAATACCATTCTAAAAATAAAACAGAAGCATGCATGATGTATTATTATTAAACACTATATAATATTTAGCATAATTGTAAAACAAAATTGAGAATAATACCAATTCCTTAAAAGGTAATATTAAATTAGAGAGAGAATTTCTTAAAACATTTGATAACAGTCACATTTATTTTAAGATTTACAAGGTAACTGTTAAAAAGTCCTCCCTCCTTTTTTTAAATATTCATTAAAAAAGCACAATTAAAATAACAGTCTAAGGAATTTTTTCAATTTAAAATAACAGAAAAATACATATAGTTTATTTTGCTGGGTTTTTAAAAATGCATTATAATAATTACATATTAAAAGATACAAAACATCTATAATACTGCAAAATATCTGTGTCTTTTTAATCTGAAATTTTTCTGAATATTTTAGTTTACTTTATTTATTTCCCAACTACTTTTCTTAAGTTCATCTGCTTTTATAATTAAATCAATGTTCCTATTAGTTTCTGTATCAGCTGCAAATTTATCAATATCTTCAACACTATCCTTGAAAAAATTAGAAACAACTGTGTAATTTTGGAATGAAAGTAGATTAAATCTTACAAATTAAAAAAAAAACATTGATTTTTTTTTATAAAGGTCCTAATAAGGTAATTTTTTATTTTTCTCATATCAAAACTGAATGAAGGAATTATTTTTAAACCTTTAAAAAAATGTATTTTTATACACTGCACATTAAAAGATTACATATAACCCCAGATTTTGTATTTCAGTATATTTCCAAACTCTTGTAACGAAGTCAAAATTTCTAAAAAACTGTGGCAACTTGTGCTGCACAATTAAATTTACTCATTATTTTATGGGATTTTTAAAAGTTTTTTTAGTTTAAATTATTCTTGTTCATACAAAACTGTTTTTTTTTTTAATGTAAAACATTTATTTAGAAATTTCATATTTTGTTTTCGTAAGATAAGGGGCAAGTTCTTTGTTAACATTTTATAGCTCATCACTGGTTGTAACTGTTTAGTCTGCCAAAGATGTAGCAACACAGTAGGAGGGAGATCAAAATGTTTTGTGAGATACACTTAATGGATTCATTTCTTCTCTGAGTACCATTTTCTTCCTGTATAAGCGAATAAAAATTAATATAATCCATCTATCTCTATTAATTATCTTTAATTTAAATTTAAAATACATGCCGCCCAGTCGGTATAGTGGTCAGAGAAGCTGACTGCATTCCCAAAGGGCCTGGGTTCGAATCCCGGAGAAGGCATGGTTGTAATTTTCTGTCCCTGGTGGCCCACCTATTAGGTGCCTCCATAATAAAGAGACCACCACATCCGGCCTTGTATAGATTAATGGACTGGGTTACATTTGTAATTGTTCATAATCTGCCATTGGAGGAAAAAAAAAGTTAAAATACATCATTAACTCTGGCATATTTTCTTAGTGGATAATTATCATATTATCAATGATTTTTATGTGACATTAATATGTTTCCACCTAAAATTAATACATTACTAAATAGAGAGACTGAAAAAAAAATTGCAAAACTTACAGGCACTCTTATTTGCTCCATTGTATCACGCTCTCTTAAAGTAACAGAAAAAGGTTTTTTCAAAGAATCAAAGTCTATTGTAATTCCAAATGGAATTGCCATTTCATCACTTCGTGTATATCTACGCCCAATAGATTCATTGCTATTGCTGACATGATGAAAAACATCGTCCTTTTTAAATTTTTCACCTTGAAATTACATAAAAGAAATATAGTATACATTTTTACAGATAGTATGCTAATGCAAATGAAAATATTCTAAAGCTAGCAGCTGCAAACTTTATTTCCTTATGTATTTATCTCAGACCTACACTTCTAAATATAAAATTTCTCAAAATAAGGTATAGAATTTTATGAAAAATTATCAAGATTTATCACGCATGGGTTTATAGACACAAAATGTATTTCATGTGGTTCCAGACAGTCCAATAAGCAAACTATTTACTACGTTATAATCAGGTACAAAATGTCCCATACTTTTATGCATAAAACTCATGTTAATACACTGCTTGACATGGAAAATGCAACACCAAGAAGGAGTGGTTAGAAATTTATGCAAATTAGAGTAGACGCACGTCACTGAGTTATGCGAATGATGTGAAATGCGCAGCTCTCCTACGCATGTGAAGTAAGATATAAGGGAAAGAACGTGCAGAATGGGCAATATTCGTGTCGTTATTTCTGCCAGACAATTATCGAATAAAGTTGGTTTTTGTCCCGGAAGATACGTGTTATAGGAGAGAATGCCAGGCGGCCATGAATGAAGGCACTTCCAGCAGGCAGACAATTTTACAAGGGGTATGGTGATTGGACTGAGAAGGACGGGTTGGTCCTTACATCAAATCGCAGCTGATACCCACATGGATGCGAGCATGGTGAATCGGCTATGGCAAACATGGTTGGAAGAAGGACGGGTACAGGTGTAGCGAGAGTGACGTCAGCACGCATGGACCGACGCATCCGCCGACAAGCTGTGGTGGTCACACAAGTCACTTGTAGTGCGATTCTGCAGCATGTGCAAGATACCCTGGATGTTTCTGTATCGACCAGAACCATTTCCCATCGATTGGTTGAACGTGGCCTGCACTCACGCCATCCGTTAAGAAGATGGCCATTGACCCCACAGCATAGATGCCAACGTTTAGAATGGTGCCAGACTGGAGCGATGTGGATGACAGAATGACAAAACGTCATGTTCTCAGATGAGTCATGCTTCTGTTTATCCAGTGACAGTCGCCCCATACGCGTGTGGCGTAGATGTGAAGACAGATTCAATCCAGCAGTAACTGTGGAACACCCCACTGCACACCAACATGGCATAATCGTTTGGGGTGCTATTGCCTACGATTCCAGGTCCCCTCTAGTTCGTATTCAGGGCACTATGACGGCCCAATGATATTTGGATAATGTACTGTGGCTGGTGGTAATCCCCTACCTTCAGGGGCTGCCTAATGCAATTTTTCAGCAGGATAACGCCCGACCACACAGTGTTCGCATCTGCCAACATGCTCTGCAAGGTATACAGATGCTTCCCTGGCCACTGTACTCTTCTGACTGTCACCAGTCGAACATGTGTGGGATGTGATTGGATGCCATTTGCAGACTCTGCCCCTGCCTCGTTCAAAAGACGAACTGTGGCAAATGGTTGAAAGGGAATGTAGAGCCATCCCTCAGGACACCATCTGCACTCTTATTAACTGTATGCCTAGACTTGTTTCTTCGTGCATCGCTGTCCGCTGTGGTCCTACATCCTACTGAGCCGACGCCGTTCTTGCTCTGTATTCTGACTATTATTTTGAAATAAAGATCACTTATTGCTGCTTGCTGTCTCTGTCTTTTTTCCAAATTTCATCACTTTCTGATCACTCCTTCTTGGTGTTGCATTTTCAATGTCGAGCAGTGTATTTTTTAGTGCAAAAGCACATTAGACCAAATGTGTTGCAACCCTCCTGGCCAATAATTATAGGCCTCATAGTTAACACCAGAACACCCAACACAGACAAACAAAAACACAGTTAAAAGACTAAAGCAGAAATATAGTCAAAAACATCAAAACCGAAATTCCCAGTATTGTTCTATTGCTATTTATAAAGTTCATCAAATCCTTTGCAAACCTAAACTCTTATTGCCGCAGTATAATTCTTTTATGTTACCCTGTTTTTCCCTAACATGTCACAATAATATGCAATCTTCGACGACACGGCATGCATTGCCTTCAGTACTACAAAAGACTATTATTTTGTAAATAAATCTTTTCAGGTACGCCTGCTACTTTGACCTATAATATTGTTACGAATTTGGTATTTAAAAAGCTAATGTTAGTTTAATTATAAATTAAATGGTTTTATTTCTCGCGCAGTGCAGCGCGTGACGAATATTAAAAGAAAGCTAAGCCGGAAAATTGAAAATACAAGAGCGCGTGCATTAAATAAATAAATATCTCTTTTTGATTTCGAGAAAGTACTGGAAAATTCTAGCGCGTGATTTTAAAATCTTATAAAAGGAGGAAAACATCTCAGTTTGTAGTAGTTGCTTAGTTTGTTGTTGTTTAGAAAACTACTGTTGTTGATTGTAGCGAATTCGCGGATTAGCGTTTTTTAGCTGTTTTGAATTACGTTCTATTGGACATTTGAGTAGTTAAAAGAAAGCTACTGTGAGATATTGTAATACTGCATGATAATTTGAGAAAATTTAAGCATTTTTGTTGTGATAATAATAAATTTTTGTTCATTTTTCATCGGACTTGTGCATTCATTTCATAACGAACCCGTACGCACGCAACAATTTTTGGTGTCAGGAGTGGGGTTTGAATGCCAATAACAAGAGCGATGGAAGAACAATTGAGACAGCTCATTAGTGCTTTTGCTGCATTCCAAGAAAAGATGGAAGCTGGCCAAGCATCATTTAAAGAAGAGATGAAAGACTGTTAAAACAGAGATTAGATCCGTTAAAGCAGAAATGAAATTGGGCCAGGAATCCGTTAAGGAAGAAATGAAATTGGGCCAGGAATCCGTTAAGGACGAAATGAAAGCCGTTCAAGCTGGTCAAGAAGAAATGAAAAGAGAAATTACTTGCATAATAGAAAATAAATTTGAAGCTATGGAAGGCAGAATTGATGCAGTTGAAAATAAAGTTGGACATATTGAAGAAAGAGTTTCTTCGGTGAAAGAAGAAATAGAAGAAAGAGTTTCTTCTGTAAAAGAACATATAGAAGGGAGAGTTTCTGCTGTGGAGGAACAAATTGAAGGAAGAGTTTGTGCCGTCCAACACCGAATCGAAAAACAAATTGATGAGAGAGTTTCTGCAGTTGCCAAAGAAATGGATACTTTAAAGAAATTCGTAGCGTCGGCAGGGAGCAGGAGTGATGATTTTAAATTCTTACCAATGCCTGCTCGTCCACTCTCTGAAGCTATCCACATATGATGGGAAGACCTCCCTGGCAGGTGTATAAGACACAATTTTCTATCGTGGCAGATGCGAATGGATGGGATTCCCAAGCTAAGGCCTGTCATCTCGCCGCTTCTCTAAGAGCCGACGCAGCGGATATCCTTCAGACTCTTCCCGAAAACAAAAGACTAGACTTTGAAGCTCTATCTGGCGCATTGGAGCTGCGCTTTGGAGAGAAGTGTTTAAAAGACTACAGCAGGCTTCAACTAAAATCCCGTCAGCAGAAGCCCACCGAAACACTTCAGGAGCTCGCCACGGATGTTGAAAGGCTGTCCCACCTTGCCTTTACGGAGTGCCCGAGAGAAACGAGGGAAATCCTGTCGCTGCAATATTTCATCGATGGCATTCGGGACCCTGAAATACAGAAAGCACTGCGAATGGCAGATGCAAAGGATGTAAAAAGCGCCCTGTTGTACGCCATGAAGTTCGAGGCAGCCCAGCAAGCAACTAGTAGAGATCGCTACCCAGTTAGAGCTGTGCGAGTCCATGAGCCAGTGGATCAAGTGATGGCTCGTTTAGATGATTTAGCCAGACAAGTCGACGATTTGATACGGAGTAGGAGCGAGAAGAAAGTGGCTCTAAGGTGTTGGAGATGTGGTAGTGAAAGTCACCTAAGACGGAATTGCAGAACGCCCCAGGGTACGGAATATAAAGCAGATGATTTTACCAGACAAGTCAGTGGCTTGAGACGGAACAGAAGTGAAAAGAAACTACTTCTAAAGTGCTGGAACTGCGGAGTTGAAGGCCACATACGAAGAAACTGCAAAACACCCCAAGGTACGGAAAATAAGACCATTTCCCAGCAACGACGCAGTAAACAAATTAGTGACCATATCGAGGAACGGAGGTTGCCAGATAATGAAAAACCTTCTTTTAAAGCGCTTAAAATTTATACAGTGAGTGGCAACAGTAACGGACTGTCCATTAATGGGAATATCGATGGAGTTCCTTGCAATATGATCATTGACACAGGAGCTAATGTTACCATCATTAGGAAAGATTTAGCTGAACAGTTTAAAGATAAACTTATTTGGATGCCATCCTGTGTTACCCTTCAGACTGCGTCTGGTGACAAGATCGACATAACTGGGAAGTTAAACGTAAACGTCATGTTTGGAAGTGCCGCCTACCATCACACGGCATATGTGGCGGATATTACAGATCCATGCATACTCGGATTGGACTTTTTAAGGAAATACAATTTTTCCTTAGATTTCAAAAACAATAAGCTGCTTTCAGCATCTGATGGCATGACTATCCATCCTCAAAAGGGATCCTCGCCCGGAAATGTCGACGCCTTGTCCGAAAGATCGAGCTCGGGAAGCTGCCGAAATCATACCAGGGTCGAAAAGAAACGCAAGACTACCAGCTATTCTCCATCTCAGAAGCTCTTCGGTCAAGACCTTCGTCTGCCTTGTGACCGCCTGTTTAGTCGCCCTACGGATGCGCCTTCATCACCTGAGGAACACATCCAAGATGCCCAGGCCCGGTTTGAGAGGATGCATCGTTCTGCACGAAATCGAGTCAACTTGGCGACGGAGAATATGAAGACCAGATACGACACAAGAGCTACTGAACATCAATTCCACGAAGGAGACAAGGTGTGGTTGTGGAATCCGACTCGACGGAAAGGACTTTGTCCGAAATTACAGTCACCTTGGGATGGGCCGTACACAGTCCTAAACAGGCTGAATGACGTCGTGGTTCGGATTCGTAAGTCTTCGAACTCTAAACCTAAAGTCGTTCATTACGACAGGTTAGCTCATTACTATGGCCATAGTACATAATGTAAATAATTGTAAATAGTATAAGACCATGGTCCTTTTTGTTTTTAAATGTGTATTTGATTTGTATTTGATAGCATTTGATTTGTTTTATGTATTGCATTTATTGTTCATGTTGTTTATTATTGTAATGTAATGCTTATTAATGCATTTATGCCACAGTTTTAAGTTTAGCTTCCTGTCCAGGGATTGTACTGCCCGGGACGTGCAGTCCTTGGGAATGGGGCAGTGTTACGAATTTGGTATTTAAAAAGCTAATGTTAGTTTAATTATAAATTAAATGGTTTTATTTCTCGCGCAGTGCAGCGCGTGACGAATATTAAAAGAAAGCTAAGCCGGAAAATTGAAAATACAAGAGCGCGTGCATTAAATAAACAAATATCTCTTTTTGATTTCGAGAAAGTACTGGAAAATTCTAGCGCGTGATTTTAAAATCTTATAAAAAGGAGGAAAACATCTCAGTTTGTAATAGTTGCTTAGTTTGTTGTTGTTTAGAAAACTACTGTTGTTGATTGTAGCGAATTCGCGGATTAGCGTTTTTTAGCTGTTTTGAATTACGTTCTATTGGACATTTGAGTAGTTAAAAGAAAACTACTGTGAGATATTGTAATACTGCATGATAATTTGAGAAAATTTAAGCATTTTTGTTGTGATAATAATAAATTTTTGTTCATTTTTCATCGGACTTGTGCATTCATTTCATAACGAACCCGTACGCACGCAACAATATCATACAAGGTCTTTCCTGAAAGTAATCTCAGTAAATCTATTAAAAGTCATTTATTGAATTTATTCTTACAAGTGTTTAAAAATCTTCAAAATAGTCTCCTTTTGCATCGATACATCGGCTCCAGCAGGACTTCCATCTCTCGAATACCTTTCGGTAGTCCTCCTCCGGAATGTCTTTTAATGCCCTGATGCAAGCTGCTTTGATCCCATCTACTGTCCCAAAATTCTTGCCTTTCAGGGGTGTTTTGAGGCATGGAAACAAAAAAAGTCGGGGACAGCCAAGTCCTGGCTGTATGGGGCTGGGGGATCGTTAGCATCCCTGCTTTGACCAGGTAGTCAGTGCCGAAGAAGCCACTGTGGGCCGGAGTGTTATTATGGTGTAATTTCTAGTTGTCTGCGATGTCCGGTCAGATGTATTTAACCCTGGGTTTCAGTCTTTTGAGGACTTCAACTTAAAATGTTTGAGTTTACAGTGGTTCCAGGTTATACAAACTTGTGATGAACGAGTCTGTGGATGTCAAAAAACATGATGAGCATGATCTTGATCTTTGATTTACTCATCCTGGTCTTCTTCAGGTGAGGGGATGAAGGTGTGTGCCACTCCGATGACTGCCGTTTGGTCTCCGAGTCATATTCAAATACCCAAGTCTCATCACCTGTAATGACGTTATCAAAACATTTTCGATCACGCTTGCACATGTCAAAGTTTTCTTGCCACGTTTTAACACGGCATGACTTTTGGTGATCAGTGAGCACTTTTGAAATCATTTTTGTGCATACGGATATGGTTTGTAATGATTTCATGAACTTGAGTTTTGGGAATGTTTAACATGTCAGCCATTAAACGAACACTTAACCGTCGGTCTGAGTTCAACAGTTCCCTCACTCACGTCACATTGTCAGTTGTGGATGGCTGTCCGGCATGGTCCTCGTCGTCGACCTTGGTGGCCCAAGGCCTTGTGGAAACTTTCAGTGGCACTTTCTTCTTAAACTTTCAGTGGCACTTGCCGATCTCACAAGGCATGTTCTTTGTAAGCAGACTTGATCATAGTAATAGTTTCCGTAGCGGTCTTGCAAAGTTTCACACAAAACTTGATCACAAATCTTTGTTCTAACGATTGCTGCATTTTCACTTGCACAAGATCGGGAAAACAACATTCATGGAAGGCCCATCCTCACTCTCCAGATGTTTGAAGCACATTGAGCGACAACGCGCTGCTTAGTTTGTAAGCAGACTTGATCATAGTAATAGTTTCCGTAGCGGTCGTGCGAAGTTTCACACAAAATTTGATTGCAAATCTTTGTTCTAATGATTGCTGCATTTTCACTAGCACAAGATGGGAAAAACAACTTTCATGGACAGGCCCATCTTCACTCTTCGGATGTTTGAAGCACATTGAGCGACAATACGCTGCTTAGTTAGGTTTCCCCACTATTAGTTTCAACTGACAGCGCTTTGACGTACAGTCGCATCACAATAAATTCACTGACATTACATTCAGGACAGTCTTCGTATGTATGTATTCTATTTTAAATAATCTATAAGAGTTTTGACATTATTTATTTAACTGTGGCTGAATATCGGGGGGGGGGGGGGACCAATTGACTCTGTGTGCTCAAATTTTTACAGATCGCGTTACAAATTAGGAACAGGCAAGCTTTAGAAATATATATATATTCATTCATCTCTTACTAGAATGGAAGAGATCCTATTGCTGCCAGTCATGAGAGATTCTACTATACTATAAAACTCTTCTATTCCAAGTTTCAAAATTTTTTTCATACAATTTAAGTATTTATTATCTTAAAGAAATGTAATAAATAATTTACTAATTGGACTTTTTTATCAATGGGGATCATCAGAAGGTTAGATTTTAATTTTATACAATTCTCTCATGTACAGTAGTGAAAATGTGTACATAAAATTCTTTATCTACTCTTCAGAACTTTGCAACAAGAAATATTAGTTATTATGGAAATAAAATGTAAGCTATAGCTGTAACAGAAAGTACTAATTATTATAGAAATAAAACTTAAGCTATAGTTTTGAAATATCCTTTAAATTTTAAAATACAGTTTTATCTCAGAGCCATTATAATCAATCTTCAGTATATTTTAACCTAAGATTATGCTAAATTTACACTTACATAATATAGTAACTAATGGAGAAAAATCAGGGTGATCACTTAGCGGAAGAATACTACACTTATAAGGTGCAACAACAGGAGGTAATGCAAAATACTGAAAAAAGAAAATTATTACTAATTACTAAAGGCAAAATACAAATTATTGATAAATATAAATAATTAAATCACACATAACTGAACATCATTACCGTTCGCATTGCATTTTTAGTCCTCATTCTAAAATTATGTTCCCAAATGGAATACACGATGCGTAGAATACCGAATGAAGATTCAATAACAAATGGAACGACTTCTTCAACTGAAAAATTCAGGAGCTAAAAATGAATATACTACAAAATATTCAAGATATCACTTACACAAACAGACATGTAATCAATTCACGCTTATGGTAAAGATTTGAATGGAAAGAATTTATACAGGAAAGTCATGCAGCCTAGCTCGTAATATCCATGTTTCTCTATTTACTTCCTATTAGCTTAAACTATTAACTCTTCTCGCAGTGTCTCTGACAAGAAAGTATGGTGACTGGTGATTGGTTTTGTATTCCAAATTATTAACAACTGTAATAGTGTACTCTAACATATTTGTAAAATTTCTACCTAAAGGTTAAATAATTATTATTTATATTATGAAGAAGTTGCAAGTGTCTCAACTATTTAGAACAACATATAAAGCATATCAACAACATAAATTAACAAAAAGTATTCATTGTATTGAAGCAGCCATGAGATAGCCAGTACATTTTTAAAGGTAAAATATAATTATTTGCCTTTGTTATCTGAAAATGGATAACAATGTTGTTATCCGTTTTAAGATAATAAAGTTGTTTATTATCTGAAATTCATGCTGACAAAGTTTTCTAGAATTTTCTCTAGATAAGAGTTTCACAGCATTCTGCATACTTGCTGTGTCTGATTTTGCGAAGTGAATTAGTCATGCATTTTAGTTTCCACACTGTATTTTAAGTTTTCTGATTCATTATGGCTGATAATACAGAAGAATTGTGTAATCATTGATCTAACATCCCACTGAAATTGAGTTTGTTCAGTGACAGACATATTACAACTGTCATTAAGTTGGATTACATTAATAATGTAAAGTGGAAACATTGCTGGGGAAGTAATTATTTCTTTAGTGTCGGAGCATGTCATATCCCATCTTTTCATGACTCCATGTTATTCTATACTTTAGAAATTCAAACTCGCATATAAATTTCTCACCCTCTATTACTTCAAAATAAAATAGGCAGTTAAAAATCATCCCCCCCCAAATAATGACTCATAACCACAGTAGCAATGCTGCAGAAAAAAGGTCAAATCTTCCAATTTACTAAAATCTTATAATTTACTCTGTGCAATAATAATGACATACACTAAGATCGTAAATGGTCACGATGATCTTGGTGCTTATTTTAAATATAAACTATAACTCTTTAGATTGTTATTAGAGTGGTAAATGTACATAAAGATTCTTTGCTTCATGTGGATTATTGCAAGAACAAACTGAAATGAAGCTTGTTCCAGTATGCATAACTTATCTTAACAAGACTTCCAAAATATACAAAATTAATTAACTTACTAATAGATTTAATTAAATTAATTTTGACAAAGAATGCAAATACTATCTACCTTAGGGTGGATATTGTAATTGTATTCATAACCTTAGACTCATTAGGATGGTAATTAAAATGTTAAATTAAGTTACAAAAATATTACAAGTAATGCGGTAGTATGTACCGAGTGACAATTTTATGAGTAGATAAAGGTCGTTATGGTGGTTAGAGAGTTAATGCAAGAAAAACTATGAAAATCCCATGTAGTTAATCTGTTGCAAGGATCAAATCCAAGATGAATTAATAGCATTCTGTAGGCTATTGGAGCAACATAAGAAGATTTTACACAGAAGTTCTAAAACAGAATGTATCATATTCCAGTTTATGTCTTCCTTTTTTTTTTTTTTTTCCATTATGCCTCAAAGTTTTGTCTCACCACATTCACACTTTGTTTGCTTTCCAACTGTACATTAGGAATCACTTCTTTGAAAACAGATGTTCGAGAATAGCAATAGTTCTATGTATGATGGAACCATACCGGGATTCCACAAATCACAATCAGAATTCAAAAGAATTTTTCAGTACCATGTAGACTGCAAAGCTAAGCATCTAAAATAATTAACTGAACAACTTTTTTATGTAATTTAATCAAATTGTTTTTGTAATTTTTTTATGATTTGTAAATCACTTATGATTTAAATAGCTTGTATATCAATTTTCATTAAAACCAGTTGATTAGGATAGTCTCCACATATATCTCAGAAACTTCAGAACTTTCAGTTTAATTACACTAAACCAAGATTTTTTTTCCCCTATAAAAGTAATATGTAAAATAATATTTCTATACTCATTGAAACTAACATATGTTTAAGTGATTACAAATACATAATAAAACCCAAAATCACAGCTATTAAATTTAATAACTTGCCATTAACAGTTTTCACTCCTCTGCTTACTACAATCATATCTTTAACTATACTGAACTCCTTGCCATCAACACAAAGTTTATATTCACTAAAAAGAAAAGAAAATAATTTTTTATTTAAAAGTGGTGCATAGTTCAACAGCAATAGAAGGCTTTATGTAAACATCTGATTTTATTCAATACGACCTTTTAAGAAATATTTTGATCTAAAGGTTCAATTAAAAATACTACTGGTAAAATTTGCCAGCATGGAAGAATAGAAAAAAGTTATGAAAAACTGCAAGTACTTGCATAAATACTTGTATTTTTGTATATTTAATTATAAGCAAATTCCTAACAACTGAAATACATCATTATTTCATCAATGCACTTATTAAAAATCTTTCCCCTCTCAAAAATTCAGTGTCCATAAAAAAAGCAGCAAACATACTACATACACAACAGTCAAATATTACATAAAGTATTACATATATATGCAGAAGCAGAATAACAATTCTTAATGAACTTCAATAATTTGTTCTTTTTTCATTCTTTTAAATATCGATATGTTAAAAAAATATGCTTATCATTTACAAGGTCATGACAGTAGATGTTGTACAGTCTATTTTGCATAGCATAATTGGGAGGGGGTGAATTGAGTTTGGGCACAATAAAATAAGCTGTACTGGCCATTCTTTCAATTTTCTGTTTCATCATTTTTAAAAGCAAAGCTTCACAGTATCAATTAAACACATAAAAAAAACATTTTATTTGTATGATCAACTATCTATTTAAACCTATTATTTTTATTAAACACCAAACATTTCATAGGTATGGATAAAGAGATAGTAAGGTATAAAATAATATGAAAAGAAATTACCAAATAATTATGATGTATAGAAATTAGCCTATGTATAAAATGAGCAGATCAGATGTGTTGCTTTGGTATAGGAAAATAACCTTCAATATGGAGTAGGATATTCCTTAGAAGCAATACAACACATACAGCGATGTACGATGCTGTCAATTACGCAGTCTAGTAGTTCCATAGGAAGTGAGAGCCGCTGCTCTTGTAAAGCAGTTGTAAGTGTAGCAAGGGTTTGATGAGGAGGACTGAGAGCAGCTATATGTATTCCTAAAGCAGTCCAAACATGCTCGATAGGATTCAGGTCGGTGATCATGCTGGCCACTTTAAGTGCTGAATTGTTTGCTGCTGAAGATAATCATCCATGATTATCTTCTAGTGCAATTTAGCATTGTTGTCCTGTAACAGAAAATTGTCACATATTGCCCTGGCATAAGCATGCACATAAGCATCAAGGGTGTCATCTCTATAGACCTGAGCATTCATGGTTCTATGAGGAAAGACATGGAGGTCTGTGCGTCCACTTAAAGAGATACCACCCACACACAGACACGACCTCCTCAAGATGCACCTCTTCATGGATGTTTGATGGATGATAACGGGTTTCAAATTCTCTCCAAACAAAATAACACCTACTATCGCTTTGGAGGCTAAACCTGGACTTGAAATGCCCACCTCAAACGTTCTCTTCTATGACATGACGTGAGCAGCGAGCAAATGGCTCATCGCCTCACATACAGACCTCCTTCCTGAAGTAATGTTGACACCAACCTTCCAGTGGCTGCAGCAAGAGTGGATCAGAGTTGAGGTTCTATTATTTCGAGCACATAGCAATAAATATCTGTCATCAGAGCTCATTGTTGCGGTTGGCCATCCTTGGCTGAACCTCACGGATTCCAAATCTGAAGAAATTTTTGCCTAAAGTCTATAAAAGATGAACTCACGTTTAGCCATTTCTGTCTGACTTTGTTCTGCCTCTAATCTCTCAATAGCAGTCCATTGCAATTCTTCAGGCAAATGATGCCAGAAGGTCATTGTTACAAATTGGCTATCCCAGATTTCTTATCTCAGTGTCCGTGAAATTTGCAGGCTTGCTTTGAAACATCTAATTTTTATGCTCCACATAGACTTATTTTGACTGCAGCGCCACTACTTTGCATACTGCAGTTTTGCTCAACTATTCTTATTTGGCAACATATTCAAATTTTATATGGATTGGCTTATTTTTTAACAAGTTACCGATATTTTGTGATTTTCCCTTCATTTTTGGAAAACAATGTATACATAAGGCATAGTTTCAAATTTTACCTATTAGCAAATCAAATTATCAAACACAATATTTCAATAACAAATACAATTTTTATAAGCCTCATTCCAAAATAATGATGTAATTTTTAAAACATGCTATTCAAAGGGCTACTCATAATAAAGTAAAACATTTATAGCCAAAAATTTCAAATGGAAGAGAAACATGGCAATAAGAAATCTAAAATTACACAAAAAAGCAATTTTAGTTGGGTAGATATTTTCAATGTAGCATTACAAAGCACCGATTGTAAAAATCAAATACTCGTTTTTTAAATCAGCATTCTGTATAATTTACAGCAGACAGTTCCCTATTTTTTTAAGTAACTTTAAAACCTTAAAATTAACAATTTATATCATTATATATGTGAAATAAATTTTACCACATATATTCCTGCCTGATACTCATAAACCTCTCCCAAATGCTCTCTTAATTGTAAATTTATTTATATTATTCATCTAATTAAACAGGTGGCTTTTGCAAAAGTACCTAAATTGCAAATTATTTTAAACATACTATTGCGATTGTCATTGCCACTGCTTATTTGGGACATTGCTGGTCTTAGTGGTACCATTTATAATTGGTTTTGTGAACCATTTGCTCCTGTTCTGATCAGTTAGATATTAATGATAATGTTTCTTTTGTGAAAGTTGCTATTCTTGGCTGCTGCTCCTCAGGTTGAGAACAAAATTTGGAAACATGAGTTCCATAGCTCGATCACTGATCACATCAAAAACAGCTGTCTCTGATAGGAGTAATTTTGGCAATGTCTTTCCTGCACACTAAGTGTGCATCACTGCAATCTTAACATAACTGTCCCTTCACAAAGAAGTGGAAATGTCAATAAAATTCAGGCACTTATAAAATATTAAATGCCTATCTGAAAAATTTCTGTCCACGGAATACTTACTTTTTAGATTCTACCAATTTTTCCATATTAGAAGTTTCTTCTTCATTTAACTTTTTTAATGCTTTGATGATATCTCTGGAATCTTTTTTATATGCTTTTTTTATCACAGCCATTTGGGGTTTCAGCTCTGTAACTTGCACAGTCTTTTACAGTATATTAAAGATATTTACTAACTATTCAAAAAGCAATCATTCAAAAGTACTAAATAGTCAAAAAATAGTTATTCAAAACAAGGCAAATAAAAATTAGTTGAGCAGTAGGCAGTGAAAAAAAATATTAGTTGCAACAACCATGAACAAATCTGATATGAATTTGAAAACCTGAGAAATATCTAAGACTTCCTTAAAAACTTCAGAAAAATATTACTACTTTCCAAATTTTATAAATACAGTTAACTACAGTACTGAAATTACAAACTAAATTGTTTAACTTATAACTTAATATTGTTAACTGCACTGTCTTTAAAAGTTCAAGAAAAAAACTAGGAAAATACCATAATTGTTAAGACAAAATATAAAATTGAGCATAAATATTCATATACAATAATTTATTCTACCTTGTAGTACCTTGTAAATACTTGTAGTGCTTATACACTTTGCACTTCTCAGAAAGTTACAACAACAATTTTTTTTGGCATGAGAGCACTTAAAATTTATAGATTGGTGGTAGGATGTGTTCTTAATCAGAACTGAGATGGAAATGAACAAAAATTTCATTGTCACTTATAAAATGCACAAAATTTTGGCCAATGACAGGCTTACCCTCTATCTAATGGTCATGAAGAATTTTCATGACAATTAGGAGAAAAAATATCAAACATTAATTTATAAAAATCAAATAAGTCATGAAAAGTATTCTTTAAAAATAATCCAAAAAAAATCAACTTTTATATGGATTAGTTCATTCATAACATGAATGCAAATGTAATATCTGCCCATGCTACCAATCAAATTATACAGTATTCCAATTGACTATATGAAACAGACTAGAACCACATAATAATCAACTTTGAGGGGTGATTTATCATGCAGAAGTGGAAGCAGAAGATCACATAATACATATATAACGATTATTTATAATACATATATAATGATTAGGAGAATATAAAAAGACAGATAAAAAATACCATATGTCAGGAATTCAAATGTAGGAGAAAATGTTTCTTCAGGAACATGTAAATTAAATGCTTACATATTTCATCAGAGCTACTACATAAGCCTAATATCATTAAGAAAGATAAAAGTTCACAGGCTCAGCAAATCCATTTTTGGGGGGCAGTTACTGAGATTCATGCACTTTTCCTTAGCTGAATATATCTGCATCTTGAAGGTGGCATCTTGAAGACAGTGATTTGTTTTCTGAATACAATGTACTTATTTGAAAATATAGTAGCAGTTGACTTCTAAGGTGCAGCTATTTTTCATAGAACGAAATTAATTTATGGACTATAAATCATTATAACATTCTGGCTAAAAAAATACCAATACTATTAATTTTTACAAAATCTGTATTTCCTGCTGCCAGTACAATAAGATTTTACAAAATCTATATTTTCTCCTGCTTATACTATACTTCAGAAAAAATTAACAACAGAAAGCTACAAAAAGCAAAACCAATCTATTTACTTTCATAACAAAGGGCCCAGGTTCGAATCTTGGAAAAGGCATGGATGTAAATTATCTGTTCCTAATAAAATGCCATTTCTGGCCTTAGCAGTGGCGAAAGCCTAAAATGGCTAGTTCTTACCATTAAAAAAAAAAAAAAAAAAAAAAGCTTCAAGTTTTTTTTCCAGTTAAACATTGTTTGGGAAATTTTTATACTACACTTGAATATTTATTCCTGTTTTATTAATTTCAATGTATAACTTTGGCTCAATTTAGATCCACTTTTTAGTCCAAATCTTTTTAGTCAGGGCTAAAAATCACTTTTTAGTCAGGGCTTTGTCCCTGAAGGACTATTGTTTCCATTTTACGAATTTGTGTTGGTTCACTATAAATGTCCATTTCACTTTTCAAACTGTTGCCACCAAATGTTAGAGTCCTTACATTTGAAGAAATTAAATAATGAAAAATCTGCATAAATGTATGTATGTTTTTTGCACTGTGATAAAACAACGATACATAGAGCCATCGAATTTTGAATAACATAATCCTACTGTGAATATGGGCATGTGGACACCCAAATTTGAAATTTTTTATTATTGATATCATATTTTGTAAAACTTTAACGAATTTTTGATTAACAAACTCAAGGATTTGAAAGCAAGCAATGGCAACGTTGTACCAAAAAAAAAAAACATTTTTATCTCCAGTGCATATCAGAAATTCTAATGATATGCTCAATTTAAAACTATTTTGCGATATTGCTCTTGAACTGAATTTTATGGTTTAAGTGCAAAGAACATGATATTTAATAAATAAGGGTAACAGACAAAATGTTAAAAAAAGTCCTTATGGATGTAATTTAAAATCTGAAACCTTTCAGATTTTCTTTTTTAATTTTTAATTAATTATTATTATTATTTTGAAGTAGGAGGAGTAGATGCTGTTCTATTAAATCTACAAACAATATTCTACATCAGCATTTCTTAAACTGTGGGATGCAACCCCAGATGGGTTCGCAAAGCAAAATGTTGGAATCCTGAAAATGTAATTTAGATACATGAATTTAATGAAACATAAGTCAAAATCCTATCATTAGGGTTAATTTAATATATTAGATTTGTATAACACAGTCTTAAATTCATATTACTGGTATAACTGAGCTGTAAATTACATTTACATATTTAAAAATATCACAAAGTGCATCATAATAGCAGTGCCACATTGCAATTTTAGCATCTAATTCAGAATCAAAATATGTCGCAAACCTACAATATGTAACATTCTGCACCACACATTTGTGCCGAGAATAAGAAAACTTGAGTAAGAAGGGCAATGATGCACATGTTAATGCTGCAAAGTATCTTCAAATGGGATTTAGTAATCAGAAAGAAGGAACTAAGAAGTGCAAACAAAAATATGATTAAACATTTTTTCTAATTTGGCTTTAAAAAAAAAGCATCTTGAATTCAAGCATCTTTCGTAAGACAATAAACCAAAAGAACGTTTCGAAGGACTATTACAATCTTATTATAAAGAAAAACAATATTTTGAAAAAATTGTGATTTAATTAAATATATTTAGTCCACTCACAAAAAGTTTGATATCTAATTGCTAAAAATAAAAAATCATACACTGCAGGAGAAGATCTTGTATTACCTGCTATTAAAATGGTGGAAATAATTCACAAAAGTAAATATGTGGATGAAATCCAGAAAATTCCTTTATCAAAATACTGTCCTTAAATAGAATTTCTAAAATTAGAAAAGATTAAGCAACTTAATACTCAACTCAAAGAAAACCCAAGATTTACAATTCATTTTGAAGAAACAACTGACATTTAAAAAAAAAAAAAAATAGTTCACTTTTTGATACATATGTTAGATATATTTATAAAAAAAGCATCAATAAATGATAGTTACTTGGTCATCCTTTTAGAAGAATTTACAAAAGGGAAAGACTTATCTACAACAATCAATAAATTTTTCAAAAACTGAAGTTAGAAAGAAAAGAAAAATTGCACTGGAGTATATAAAGCTGATGCAAAAGCGATGACAACAAAATTATTGATTATAAATCACTTGCTAAAACTGCTAATAATGATCTTGTAACTTTTCACATTGCCTGATCTATCACGAGGATACTGAAGCAAAAAATTAGCAACGAAATTGAACAGATGCAAAAGCGATGACAACAAAATTATTGATTATAAATCATTTGCTAAAACTGCTAATAATGATCTTGTAACTTTTCACATTGCCTGATCTATCATGAGGATACTGAAGCAAAAAATTAGCAATGAAATTGAACAACGTGCTTCAAGATGCTGCCAAAGTTATAAATTGGATTAAAAACCATGCACTTAACAGCCATTTATTTTCAAATCTCTTTAAAGGCATGGACTATGAATACAAACATTTATCATTAATCACAGAAGTAAAATGGACTTCAAGAGGGTGAAGTCGAAAAACGTCACTGTTATTAAAAAGAGGAAATTTTTATAGTTTTAAGTGAACAAAAAAAATCTGATCTTGCTGGGTTTTTTCCCCTCGATGTGACTTATAGCTATCAAAGCTGAACAATCTCAGCTTGCCTTTTCAACTTACTTCGAATGATAAAATTGAAGGTTTTATTTTTAAAAAATCAATATTTGAAAGAACAGGCTGGAAATGTTTATGACTATCGACAGTTTTATACCTGAAAAAAAAATATTTTACAACTTTGATTGTAAAAATTATTTTAGATAACTTAAAAATCATAAAAGACCAGTTTTGCAAATACATTATATTGCATTTTGATTTAAGTTATACTGTATTCAAAACGTATTTTTGATTGATATCGAGATTAATCACCTATCACTTAGGTCAAAGAAGAATTTGCTCGGCCATCTAGTGACTTTAAAATTGAGTTTCCACAAAAAATCCTCGATTGAACTCAGGATTAGAGGTAGAAATGAATTCCCCACAATTTCTGAAATGGCATTAAATGTTCTTTTGCTATTCAGCCTCACATACTTATGCGAAATGACTTTTTCAGCTTTACTCCTTTTTTCACTGCTAAAAAAAACTGAAGATGTTTTTATTACTGTTTTCATGCTACTCATCCTCCTGATATATTTATTCAGATCAGGTCCATAAATTAATGACAGCTATAAGAAAGATAGCATTTGTCATAAGCCAAGGCTTCGGCCACCTTCTAAATGATAGTAGAACTTTGCTCAGCTCTATCCTAGTTTCTAAGAATTCTCTGCAGCACAAAATCCAAAGGTCTCTTTTCCTTTTTTCCTTACCACTAACTTCTCAAGGAGACTTTTGGCTTGATGATACTTAAAGTACCTCCATGCTGCAAACACACTATATATTTACAGACATCTGTGTCTTTTGTGGAATTTGAACCTGGATCCAGTAATGCTGCAGACAGCATCACAAACTACCATACTGATCAGGGTGACTATTAAAAAGCTTTGATTTGACTTAACATCTTAACTGCATTAAAACAAGAAAACATCTTAACTGCATTAAATCAAGAAAAGGATATGGGTTCCTTAAAAGTAGTTTTTGCAGTCAGTCTGACTCCAGTTGCATCCATGTGCTTTTCAAGATCATAACAAGATCTATCAGCACAGCCAACACATTCAATCCAACCCTGAAAAGAATTTTTAAAAAATCTTTCATAATTACAACTTTAAATAACAGTCAAAATGCAACAATATCTAAATATAGATTTTCCTTTTAGCTGTTACATTTTTACACATACACAGCCTTTTTTTTGGGGGGGGTTAAATGAGAAAAACAATTTGGCAACCAAACATTTTTTATATAATTATTTAATAAATGCAAGTACTAGGTTCATTACATTCTATATATATATATATATATATAAAAACACCTATACACAGACCCCCTTTTTTTTTTCAGATATCAGAGAAGAACATGACATGGAATTCCAACAAAATACTGAATTATCACGAGAAATATATAAATCTGAATTTATTTTTAAAAGTCTGATAAAAAATTCAAAACTCTGTATCTTACCCTTCATATATTACTATACTTTACCCTTCATAATATAAAAGCAAATGCAAATTCAATACTCAATAGTTTTCAGGAATAGCCAATTATTGTTTTTTCTCCATAATATAAATAATAATAATAATGAAATTCAAAAACTTAGCATCATTTTTAAGAATCTTAAATTATAAGTTTATCAGGATAATATAAAAAATAAAAAATTCAAGACTCACTATTACTTTCTAGGATTATAATCATTTTATTATTATAATTTTATTATTACTACACCAATTATAATTTTCTCTCCATAATATAAAACAAATAAAACATCAGCATCATTTTCCAGAATTTTTAAAATTTTCACTTCAGAATGTAGTTACCAAAAATATAAATTCATATTGAGATAAACAGAATTAGTTAAATCATTTAAAATTGTTAAACATACATAAATTTGCTAATTAAAAACATATATCAATAAGAAAATTTAACACTCAATATCAAAAATGAAACTGTTGTTATTACAGTATATATTTAGTTTTTGATAGTACGAATAACTAAATAGAAAAATTAATTTTAGAGTAAAATATGTTATTTTAAATTATAAGACATGATTTTTGAAAAGCATCTGAAATAGATACCCATTTCATTTATGACCCAATACTCAAAAAATGAAATAATTTGAATAATCACTGTGTCATAGAGAAAAGCATCACAAAATTTTTCAACAAAGTTTCTTTCCTTTATTTATGACATGCTCTCATATGGCCAGCCACTTAAAATAATTATTGTAAAAAAGTATATAATGAATTTAATTCCAGTCAGTAATTAATTATAACAAAGATGAAGAACTGCATTTATTACTTTAATAATTCTTTTATATGGCTCAGCTAGAAATTAATAATGACAGAGATGAAGAACCATATTTATAACTTTTAAATCACTTAATTTGTTAATCAATAACAGACACATTAAATGTGAAAGAAAAATTAAATACTGCTGCATGTGTAGGGGTACTGACGTTGAAGTTAGTCTGAACTGAAAAACTGAGAAGTGATGCTCTCTTCAGACTTATATAATTTTTCCTGCCTGCCGAGAAGTCTCTAGTACCTTCCATTTCTTGAAATTACTGGAAGGTTATATACGGTTAAAGTTACATATAAGCGTTCAATAAGATTACAGTTATATATAGGGATTAATTACAGTTATTCAATAACACTCCCAATAACATACAAAATGTCCCCAAGTTTGGAAACTGTTAACATCTACATGTGCAATGTGTATATGTACACAGTTGTGTATTCACTAGACCAATGTTTTACTATATACCATAAAATTACTCCTTAAGTTTTGCATTGTAATTTCTACCAAATTGTTCATTGCTCCTTTTTTTTTTTTTTTTTTTTTTGGTTCATGTCAGCTTTGTAACAAGAAAATAATTTTTTTTTCGCTTCAGATATGTTTTTTTCCTTCAGATATGTTTTTTCCCTGAGCTAATTCAATTGACCATTGAGACCATATATAGGACTCAGTCTATTTGATAAAAAAAGTCCCATGTATGAGATGTTCAAGCCGTTCACGAAAATGAACTATTCTTCAATCTATATCCTAAAGACCAATCACAATCAATTTGGGACATAGTCATATTTTTCATTATAACAACCTTGAATTCTAATATTGGAATTTTGAATATTACTATATAATAGTTTTGGAAATTACTATACAAAATTACTATACTATCGGTCTATACGAGACAATGCCCTTTTACATATCAATAGCAACTGCATTAAAGGTTTCATAAAAGACTAATAAATAAAAAAAGACTAAAATAAATTTCCTGTAAATGACAACCAATTTCAAAAGTTTCAAATTAAGAAAGCAAAGATTCTGAAGAACAAACTCTGATAGCACAATATACAAAATAGTAAACAGTAACTATCTCCTCTTCTCATTTAGAAAGTTGATATGAAGGGGGAAAGCAAACCAAAAAGTTTATAGTAAAGGATTAGTACTGAAATGAAATTCATCGCAGGTAATTGTAGATGTCAAGTAAAGGAACGGCATTATGACAGGTAGACTACAATAGATTCAATACATTGTGCTGCAAAAGTAAACTGGATGGCTGGATCAATCAAACTCATAACAGATAAAATCTTGGTTAAATCTTATTTTCGTAACATAGCCAATGAAGAAAGAAAAAGACAGTTTAAAAAAAGTTTGACTTCAAAATAGTGCATTTAGAAGTTAGGTAGAACTGAGAGTATTAGCTATAGATTCTGTAATAATACTACTTACAGAAGCTAGTTTGGTTTCTGCATCCCAGCAGTCAGTTGCATAATGAGCCATTTCGTTGGATGCGTGTTGCCGAAATCTCAGCTTCTCTGGATTGATACCAACAGCTATTAAAAATTGACATATTCTTGCCATGAAATAGCCTAATGTTTCATTAGCAACAACACCCTGAAATAAAATATGTATAAATATTTAACTATAAGTCATACTATAAAATGAGATTCACGTAAGATTTATAGAATAAAAAATAAAACTTTTTTTTCTATTTTTGCAACACTGAAAAAGGCATAGAAAAAATTATAATAGATATGACATAGGTTTCTACTGTAATTATTTCACTATCCACTTCAAGTGGTTTTTTAGAAATCTTTTAATTTCCAATAGCTTGTCTAACCACAATTTGAAAATATATAGCTTATATTAAAAAAATAATATATACCTGTCATACAAAGAACTTCTCAAACATTTTCATAATTTATGTATACAGGATTTTAACATTCTTTATATAGTTATCACAAAAATTTGATTTATGAATTATTGCAACTTAGCAAAAATCAACAGTTAGTAAATTTGATTCAAACAGTATTCATGGCATAAGCTGTAAGAACACTTTACTGCTCTAGGTATGAAAAGATTAAACATAAAAAAACTCTTTTTTTTTTTTTTTTTTTTTTTTTAGCAGCTCAGCTGACATTTTTCAAAGGTGGAAAGAATAGGTTTATTACGATGGTTATATTGCAGCCTGAAGACTGTCCTTATTTTCCGTAATAAGGCAAAATATTATTTCTTTAGTATTTCAAAATAAAATAAGGAGTTTAAACTGGATAGAAAAAGATTTTTGATTTTTATAATTATTTATTACAACATACAATCATGCACTATAATGACTTCTTATCTTCAATATTTATTTTTGAAGGGGAGAAGGGGAAGTAAAATATTTTCTGCCAAAAGATAGACTGAAGACTGATTCTAATTTTTCCTCATCATTTTTCATTCCTTCAAATTTCTAGAGTGGGAACCTTTAAGTGAAATTTGATCTTTTAAAACTCTCAAAAGTAATAAAATTGGTGTAAACTGTAAGGAGATGATAAATGATGGAGTGGCAAAAATTCATGTTAAATTCCAAATAGATAATAATTAAAAAAATAATAAGTTTACTTTTTCAACAGCATCTCCTATTGTTGTTAAAACAGCAGGTACCCCATCCTTTTGATTGCAAGCAGAATACAACATTAAATTCAGATCCTTAACTTTATCAAATTTTGGATGTTCCTTGTGTCTTGGATCAATAAAATGCTCTATTTCAGCCATTTTGAACTCTCTATAACAGTTGAAAAATTATCTAGAGACAGATATATTAGCATTCTATACAACATTTTAATTCTGTATAACACAATATAAATATACAAGCAAAATTATTGATGTCATTACAATTTATATAAAAAATAAATTGAAATTTAGGAATTATAATGGCACTTGGATATTAGCTGGCACCTGCAAATACAGTGGCAGGAATTTAAAGACATCTTTTTATAATAAATATTATGAAATACACCATTAACATCCGCAGACCTAACACACCAATACTATCAGGAGGAGTGCATCAGCTGCAGGAATGAAAAAAGCTGAAGAAAAATGTTTGTAACTTACATAGTAATCAGTAAGCCATAAGATACATTAGTAATCAGTAAGCCGGATTAGCCAATCGACCAATCTGAAAAACATTGCATTTTGTCAGTTAGACTGCACAATTTGGAGATAGATTGGTCTGGGGTTCGAATTCCAGAAAAGGTATGAATACACACATGTGTGTACACATTCTGCAGCACTCCTTTTTTCATTGCTTAGTTGTGCAGTATGAGACTGCTCAGCAACATAAAATGAAAATCCATCACTTAAATTTTAGGCATTGAATGTAAAAAATACATAAAAAATACATTAGTAATCATTAAGTAGATATAAAACTTTTGATTTTATTTTAAAAACCTATTTTTTTTAACTTTCATTTAAATTAAAATAGATTCTACATCTTTAATACTAGAATAACACTTTTCAATTTGAAAAGAGTAAAATTAGACAATAAGAATTTAAAATTTAATATTCTTAACATAAATCGAAGATTATACAAAATGAATTAATTTTAGCAATGAAAGAAAGTTATGCTTCACATTAATCAATAAATTAGCTATCAGTTCTGCCACTTCAATAGTCTTTCTTAATGCATTAAATTATTTTTAACATCACTCAGATGGTCTTCCACCCATAATATTCTGATCAATATCATGAATATTTTACAACTGAATGTTATCTTCCTTTTTAATTCTATCTTCGAGAGAGAGAGAAAAAAGAGAGGTGAAGATTTTAATATATTTAAAAATTTAAAGTATAAGATGCACTCTTGCCGGCATCTGACGGTGCGTTGACAAATCACCCAAATATTACCAACCTAAGAAAAATTGGTAGGAATTTTTTTTTTCTATGGAACCTATTCCTTCAAACAAACAACATTTTAAAAAACTGTTTAAAAATGATTCATAATAAACAATTTCATAAAAACAATTATAACATCTCTAATATTCACAGTACTAAATGTTTGATATTTGAGTATAAGTGGGTACCTGCCAGTAAACTAACAATCTATTGACACTTTTTAGTTATGATGTGAGGTGGTATCAAAAAGTTGTAAGACTAGTTCTGTAACATGAAACAGATAGCATCACAAGGTTACACACACAGGCTCAGACAGCACCGACCTTCATAAGTCATACAGTGCAAAGAGAAACCATCCTGTGTGCACTGGGAACTGTGTAGCTGGTGCTTTTCAGATGACTTGCGTAACCGAGCTATGATTTCATCATATCTAGCATGTTAGAACAGCAAGCAAATCTGAAATTCTGTGTAAAACTGAGCAAAACTACCACAGAGACGTTTGACATGATTCAACAAGTGCACGGCGATGCCGCAATTAGTTGTTTGACGTGTTTTGAATGCCACACATGCTTCAAGATTGGAAGAAAATCACTGGAAGATGACGAGAGATCAGGACTACCTTCAACCAGCCCAACACCTGAAAATGTCAAAACCATTTAGGAAATTGTGCATAAGGATCATGGTAGTACAATCCAAAACACTGATGCCATTGTCGATGTGTCAGAGCAGATGCTCACGTGTGATTTAAACATGCGTTGCTGCGAAATTCACTCTCAGGCTGTAGACCCAGGAGCAGAAGATCGAAGCCTGCCAAAAACTCTGTCAGCGTACCACGGATGGTCTGCCCTTCATGTTGAAGGTAACTGCTTGAGATAAAACATGTGTATATGGATACAATGGGTCTACAGAGGTAGTCTCAAAACTTTCTGATACCACCACCCATATGTATTTCTGATGCCAGAAAATTAATCAATCAGTCCCCCCCCCAGGTATTGTCCAACAATCCATCTAAAACCACATCAGACTGTTATTAAATACTTGTCTCTGCCTTCATATAATTTCAGCTAAACTAGGAGACTTCTCCTGAATCAACTCCCAGTTCTCATTCCAGCATATTGTTGGCAGTTGTTGACACTGCATAACTTCTGTATGCACAGTTTCATTACATAAGAATTGGAACACTCACGATTTTTTGACAAAATAGCTCATGCCTGGAAATAATGGAGTAATTTGAATTCGGTTTTTGGTAGACCCTTTCTTTATCTAACCGTTCCGAAATCTGTTTATCAATTTCACGCTACTCTGCACGGGGGAAGGGGGGTAACGTCGCGGCCCGCAATGAACTGGAAGTTGATCTGTCAGCACTATTGTTATCTTCAGGGCAGATGTTTTTATTTTATTATTCGGGGGGAGGCTTATAAGTAGTATTTATCTGAGTGTCAAGGATGATAAAAGGAAAGAGAAGCTCTTTCCAATAATAAAGAAAAAGAAAACGAGGTGATTTACATTTGGCGTGGATGTATGTTTATGGCATGTAAGATGGTGCTAAATTTATATACTAATTCAATGTCCTTTAAGATCATAATTGCTCATTATTTTATAAATTACGGTTTCCATTATTTTTAATTTTATAATTTCTGCATGCCATCTTACCAATTTAAACTGATGATCTATAATCTGGAAAAATCGATAATCCGGAATCGCCGAAGTCCCGACGAGTCCGGATTAAAGACTTTTGACTGTACTGTTAAGTAAACCTAGTGCCAGAGTGTCGCTATGGTAAACAAAGTGAATTTTAAAGAATGCATTTATTCTATTGTGGTTTATGCGCTGTCGGCGAAGTAGGCTTAATTCAATCTAATAAGTTTAAATAAAATGCAAGAAAAAATGCATATAATTTAATATTCCGTACAAGGAATACATGTGGAGTACACATGAGATTTTTTTATTAATGTTAAGTTTAACATTTTTAGAAAATAATAAAAATTGTCTAATTATTGGTATGTCAGGAATTTAGCCGTTACGTACAAGAAGGTAATTTGTAAAAATGATAAAATTGAAATGTTCCACAACATGAATTTAAATTTAAAAAAAAAAAATATTTCTATAAATACTTTAATAAAAATCTTTAATTAAATCTTTTAAGTAACAATAAATAAAAAGCAGAAAACCAAATAAATTTATTTATACCAATTCATTCTAAAATCCTGCAGGGCCCCTCTGCAAATATATCAATCCCTAAATGGGTTATAAACATTTAAAAAGGTTTGGAAAGGAATGCAACAATCATTTTTCTTAGTTCTCCAAACACATAATATTTCTAGCGCTATCATTACTTTACAAACCATTCTTTTCGTAAGCACTTTAACTTACCTCAGTCTAAGGGGACCAGGCGAAATTTCCTTTCTGTAACAAACTCCAATTTGAGCAATAGCAAAAGGAAGCCTACATTGGTCAGACTTCACAAAATGTTTGAAATTTGCAAAAATACCTTGAGCTGTCTCTGGACGCAGATACCTAGAAAGGTCAAGAAAAGAAAATAACGTCACAAAATAGCTCACATGATAACTTGCATATGAATATCAGAGCTAATGTCACTAAACAGCATAATATAACACCAGTAATGAACAAATATGATGTCACAACACATATTGCTTGATTTTTGCTTTGGTTTTATGCAACCTCGATCTTCCATAAGCCAGCTTAAATTTTGAAATGAAGGATAAAAATTAACTAATATTTTTCTGATTTTCTCTTAAATTTTGAAAAAATACTAAAATTTTGAGCTTTCCTTTTACAGAAGAGCAAGCAGAGAAGAACTGCCAAAGTTACAGAATTGTGTACACTGATGTGCATTCTCAAAACACTGAAAGAATGCAAGAATTGGCAAAATGGCACAATAAAAGATGCTGCAGAATTATACGATGCAACTTAGTTAAGTATTTAAATTCACAAAAGTATTCACAAAAATAAAAACGACTTTGTTGCTGCTTTAAATGGCCATTACATTTTTTCTGATGCGACTGACTGACACTAATTTCAATTAACTTGTTTATCAAATAACCTGACAGCTTGAGCTATTATTTATCTAAGTTTGCATAAATTTGGCAGGATGTCTGCAACTTTTCATATAGACAAGAAAATATGTGAATACAGGAATTTCTCAAGAATGATATGATGACAAAATATTATATCACTGATTAACAACACTTTCAAAAGCTGGTGTAAACAAGTATTTCAGAGCGTAGTGGAACTTTGGATCATGAAAATACGGTCCGGAAACAAATTATCTGAACAAAAAACACCTCAGGTGACAAATAGTATCTTGAATTTGAAATACTCAAGTCTACAAACAAATTATCAACAAAAAACACCTCAGGTGACAAATGGTGTCTTGAATTTCAAATACTCAGATCTACAAAATATGATTTTAAAAGGTGTTTTGAGGTAACTTATGGCACATAATTAACAGTCATGGACTTTTGGAAACATCAATTTAATATTTTCAATTTCATTAACAAAGCCTGGCAGAGAGTGACTGACAGGATCACACCTATTATTCTGGAAAACTTTTATGAAACAGATTTTACATCGTATGGTACAGTATTCTTTGCATAACTCAACACTACACATTAGCCAACTCATTTGTTCTTTTCTCTATGTTCATTTGCATACAATGAACACAGCAGCATCTTGATTTTCCAACTATTGAAAGATGATCCCCAACATTCATGAGATTCTAAATACTTTTTAACCCAGCAGCAATTTTTAAACTTTTAATGGAACATATATGTACCATTAGTAGTCAAAGGGTTAAGGTTACATCTACATCATCCTTTCAACTTCATCTAGTTTAGCCTCTCAAAATGGCTAGTCTCCCAGATCACATGCAGTTTGCAACTAAACCACATTTCCAAAAATGCATGATTCATGAACTGTTAGGTTCATTGTTAACTGTTAGAAACCACAGTTCATTGAACTGTTAGGCACTTCCAGATCCAAATACTTCTTAAATATATGCATTTCAACAACTGATTGTTTGACAATGAATTGATGTTTTTGAAAAAATGTCTGTCTAGTAATAAAAACAGCTCTAACAGTGCATCTAATGACAGATGATATAATTATTACAACTGCAATTCAATTTAATGATACAATATTTTGCTTGATGTGCATGACTTTTCATTCTCTCTCTATATATAAACTGGTTTGATACTGTGGCTACAGAATATGGAATGAATGATTTGCCTTTGCTGGGCATTTTAATTTTCAATAAATTTTCATGATTTTTTTTAAAAATTTATTCTTTTTTGTTTACAGATAAGAGTAGAGCATTATACTCACAAATTTATTAAATAATTTTTGCTATAATTCTTGTATACCTTGCATAAAAAAAAGATGGGACAGTTCTATGTCTCCTGTTCAGCATGTAAGGATCTTAAGTTTTACTAACGCTTATTTTATTTTAAATCTTTACTATCACTTCTTATTTTCTACTTCCGGCCAGAATTATAAACGTTAATGTATTTATGCAAAGTTTGTCTGGCGAACGCCAAGTATTTAAGTTGTGGCTTTTTGCCAAGCGAGAGAGAGGAAGCAGTGAGTCGAAGCAGGCCGCTTACCTTAGAAGTTTTACTCAGTTGCTGGTTGCCTTCCAGGCTAGAGGTTTTAATCCTCTTGATAATTTTTAAACATATTGTAGTGTTCACAGTTCTCTGTACTACATACGGCTTCCTGTTAATATAAGGCCAATCTTCCACGTTTATTATTTTAAAGTTAAATTAGAGTTTAGTTTTATTTTTATATTCTTACGTTCAGACCACAAGTAGTGGGTCTTTGTATTCCGAAGTACGGAAATTATTGTAAATAGAGAAAAATAAAGGGTTTTGTATACCCTTCTTGTGTATCCTGTCTACTTCCCACAGTTTTGAACATAGCTTAGTAAGCTCTCTGTTCCGAGTCAGGTCCTTGCATGTTCCCGAAGAAGGTAAGACAGAACATTGAACCTGATAAGCACATCTGGCATTATTATTGCTCATAACGAATACGCCAAACTTCAAAATGCGCCAAAACGTAAATTCACGTACATTTTAGGAAATTTTGAATAAGAAACTCTAATTTGTTTTGCAGAAGTAATATTCCTTATAGTTGTGCATGTGTGACTGTTAAGTGCGGTAATCTTTGCTTTTTTTCTAGATGTTATATCCATTGTTAGTACTCTAAAATGAATTAATGTTATGTTTGTTTCTTGTTATGTTTGCAATGAATGAACTTGTTTAAGAAGTCTGCAAAAGCAGAAATCACTGAACTCTTCACACAGAAACAAATGTAAAATTGCTGCAATAATTCTAATTTATTGTCTAACCCAGCTCTAAGCAGTCAAAAGCAGACATCCAGACAACATTAATGCAGATAAAACTGCTTTGAGGGACATACTGGTGCCAACTGGCAACCAACTTAAAATTCTGTGAAAAAAAAAAAAAATGCTTTATCCCAATAAATTTGCACACTGTAGTATTTCTACCTGCATTGGATATAATCTAGCATCGGAAATATAATCTAGTGTAACAGGAATAATTAATTAATAAATTTATAATGTTCATATTTGCATGTGCGAATTAAAGATGAAAATTTTAAAAATAATCACATATTAAAATTGAAAAAAAAAATTATAAGTTCACCTACATTAAATATTATAATATAATTACACCAATTACTATGTAATTATACACACACATGTTCTTGTATATGGTAAGAAGCTAGTTCAAAAGGAGTAAGTTGTTTGCATTGCACTGGGGGGCTACTAGACATCAATCCAATTAAATATATTCTTAATAATCTTTGAAACTTAAATATATAAATAATTTTAATGGTTGTACTTATGTTCAGCATGATAAAATTAGTAAAAATGGTTGTTTTTACTTTGGATACCACAGCTATTCATAGTAATCTAAAGCAATACAATTGATGTAAATATATATCTTATAAATGCACCTTTATGAAAAGGAAACACTTTCCTCAGGAAGTTTTACAGAATTTCTAAAATGTACAGCTACTTGCAGAAAAACAAAAGCAATGAGACGGAGACATAAAAGTGAAGGGATGAATTTGAATCCTCAACCAATAGAGTACACAAGAAACACGAAAGATTTCACCAATTGACCACTGCAGAAGTCATATGGGATTTATTACATGTTGACTGATATAATGAAACTTTAAGGGATCCCAGCTCCGTTAATATTGCACATTCACAAAAATAATGATATATTTGAAATGCTTTTCATAAGGATACAAGCAGATAATAATTCTTAATGCAATGTACATCTTGTTTAAGAGAAAAAAAAGGACCTACTGATAGCAGCACCTACTGATACATTCTCAATGATTCTCTTCTGTGAGCATTGCAGTAACTCTAAGAGCTACTCTGGATTCTTTTGGAAAGATAAGTCTCCCCTTCTCTTGTTTCGCCTGCTTAGGGGAAGGGTCATCCTTTTTTGAAAGTAAATTAAAGGAGAGTAGAGATAGCTTTTTTATTTCAACATCAGGCCAATTAGAAAAAGTGTCACTTCACTTTTTTTATAATTTGTTTACAGTGAAAAGCTTTTGGAATAATATTTATTCATTTGATGTTAATTTTCACTGCATTTTGCATGATGAATTTTCAAAATTTATCAAGAAATTAAGCAGAAGCAATTCATTATTTACAGGTGTTCTGTCCTTAGTCGATTAGTAGATGGCACTATCATCATGCCAAAAATGTACCAGTTAATTCTTGTAACTCATCATGAGCAAATGCATATCTTGAAGCGTTGAAAGAACTAAAATCTTGTAGCTCTACTCTTGAATTTGTATCATATGTATCTATATAGGGATGCATTCTGGTTATCATCATAATAAATGTTGTATGCGAACTTTGCTTAATCCTTGGAATAACATACCGACCACATGTAGTCAACACCCTGTAACCACACCTCTGGATACTTGGAGCTAAATCATGACTGCTCAAGAAGTGTGCGATATTTTGTCCCCTAAAAATCAATAAGTATTCTTATTTTCATGTAATGTAATTGTACATGATAGAAGGTGTACATCGGAAATATAATATTAATAACTGTAATGTTAGAATAAGAAATGATTGGGGAACTGACTTATCTTAATCAGCAGAATTAGCAAGCAGAGAAAAGCAGTGGAAAACACCAATTTGTACCATATAGTTTTGATTGCTAGGCAAAATCTACCAAAAATTTTTAAAACTTACTTAATTAATCAACTGATACTGAAAATATATTTTATTGCTGAAAGGTAATAATAGACTGTTGGTGAGGTATCAGTGAGGCTGGCTAATACCCTATTAGTGAAAAAGGATGCAAAAGAAAAACTTAATAAAACATCTTTCAATGATAAAAAGAATTATTTTATACCCTTTATTATTTCCTCTAGGATCCATTGAGGTATTCATCATGAGATTAAAGTCCACAGCATCAGATAAATCATTTCCAGTATTTGGAGATTTTATGTCAAACTTTCTCAGCAAAGTATTCATTTCTTTTTTAGAACAGCCATCCAACTAATAGAGAGCAAGAGAGAATGAATTTTATTAATACATCTGTCACATAATTTACATATTTTAATACCTAAAACACACAGATTGCATATAATTTGCTGATCTTCCTATGAACCAAAATAAAATATGAACAATATATTATATAGTTTGCTCAATTAAATACTTAGCTAGAAGGTTTATATAATCATTAATAAATAACACTGATAATAACTTAACAGCGAAAAAGGGCAGAAATATCCAGCTGTCTGCTATGTCTTTCCCTTACATCAGTAGAATTACAAATTACTCACCAGTTAATGGAATGTTAAGTGAAAAACTGCACCAAAATGCCAAATGTGATAACTTTCTTTACCTCACCTTACATACAACTATGCAGTGATGCCACAGGCAATAAGTAAAAAGAATAAACATATATTTAGTAATTTTTTGAGAATTTCTGTTATTTTTTATTATTATTATTAAGTTCTGCTAATTTTTTAAAAAAGAAAATAGTAGATTACTTGATTTGACAGTTGCTAAATGGAAAACAGTTGCACTTAAATTCATCCACCAGTTTGTAAAGCAAATGCTGTTTCAAAGATTGTTATCATTTCCCTCATGACTGAACACTCAGCAATTTTTGGAAGCGGGGCAGGTCTATTGCTCATTAAGCTACCTCATAAATGGGAAGATTGCTCTAGGTGTACCACAGAGCACAACCCAGTAACATCTGCAACAAAAGAAGAAACTCTGTGCCAATTTTGACAAAGAGCAATCCAGGCAATAAATCCAAATGTCTCCTATCCCATTTCCCTTACCGCTAACCTCTTGAAAGGATTTTCAGCTCAATAGTATTTAAGTGCCTTCATACCACAAAGGCATTACACTTGCAAACATGACTTCTCTGGGATTCAAGACTAGCAGCCAGCTTTGCAGCTACCATGAAAACAGGGTGGCTATGGCAGGTCAGAGAACTGACAAACTTCCTCAGTAATTATATATTATATCTCGATAATTATAGATATATCTTATAAAAAAAAAAGAGTCCACCTGTATAACAGATGCAAATACATTTAACATATGTGAAATGAAATGGATACTGAAATAAGTTAAAATAATGAGATTGCACATATATTGTACTTGTCTTCTGTAGTGGCCTTGATGAGAAAGTGGGGAAGTTGGCCTTGATGAGTTAACGAGTTTATGCATTGATAAGACACAAGCAATTACCAATCTGTACAAGTGCAAGAAACAAATGGTTAATGATCTAACTGGTTTTTCATAATTGTTTTATATAGTACAAAATCTGTAGTCCATTATTCGGAATGATCTATAATCCGGACCTCAAAGCCACAAACTTACACATGCGCGTTTAATACACGCGTCCACTACGCGTAGACTGTTAGTGAAGTATCAGTGAGCATTTACCCATGCGCGCTTCTGATAGTGAAGAAAGTGACAGAGACGAAATGAAAACAAAAAAATTTCGATTGACAAGTTAGTCGGTATTCTCAACACAGCAATTATAGGACTGAACAAGAAATTATGTCTGTTTATAGAATTAAAGGGAAAGTATTAGCTCAAAAAACAAAGCAGCTTAAACAACTTACATTGAAAGAAAATGTTTAATAAAGTAAACAAATAAATATTAAGTTCTTTTTTTTTTTTTTTTTTTTTTTTTTTTTTTGTAAATTTTGATACCCTTTGCTCTTTATTTCATAAATTATGGTTTCATATTTTTGATTGTATAATTTTTGCATGCCATCTTACCAGATTTAAATTGATGATCTCTAATCCAGAAACACCCCTAATCCGGAATCACTGAAGTCACGACGAGTCCGGATTACGGACTACTTTGTACTGTACTAGTATAGATACTTTTCATTGTAAAGTATTCACTATTTTCAAACTTCCATCAACAAAAAAGAGGCTATAGTTTCTGTTTGAGGCCTTACTAGCAGCAATTTCTGAACTGTGGCCACCAGAAAAAGACTGGAGAACATGAATTTTCCCTTAAATTCACAATTCTCTTTTTTAGAAACTGCTCATAAAATTGCATTAAATAAAGTAATAAATAGAATTTTCTGGTGTTTAATAAAAAATAGAATTTTCTGGTATGTTTAATAATAAACAGAATTTTTTTGCATGTTTACATACATTACTTTAAATTAATTACTTACTAGCATTAAATACGATAATTAATATATATCTTGAACCAAGTCTGCCTAATCATGCTTTTATTTTAAATAAATAGCTGACAAAATTGTATTAAATACCATAATAAACACAAATTTATATCGAATTTTGGTACTGTTCTGTTATCAGAATTTGATTCAGATATCGCCAAAAGCTGGCGATTTAGAGAAAAATTCGCAGCATAAAAATAATCACCAAAATATTTATAATACTGTTGAGTTGAAGGAAAATCCAAGAAAAATATCGCAGATATTCGACAAATTATAAAATTTTAATGCAAATTAAACAACTTGCCAAAAAAATAAAAAAAATTCTTTTATCAAATTAAGATTAACACAAAGGCATAAAAGCGGATATCATTTAAAATGTCTGAAAACATTTGAGTTTCATAACGCTTCTGCCACCAAATAAACTGAATTAAATAAGAATCTAATTGGTTATGGTCAGTGCAGCACTGACGCTTGTTTTGCCAATTCTTACTGCCCCCCTAGACATTAATGCTTGGCCACAGACTTCCCTCATATAACTGTTTCAATCAACAGCAGTGCAATGATTTTCATCAAGTTGATGCTAACAAAATTCATGAGAAGTTAATACCAAACAACATGCATAAATGAAACAAATTGCTGTTAAGAAACTGATTATAGATCCTTCAAAATATTTGAACGTAATCTTTTTTTTTTTTTTCCTTAGCACGTCATTATCTTCACATCTCCATTTTGGTGCTTCCATCAAACTGAAGTACAGCTTCATTGGTTTTCCATGCACTTTCTTTCAGAGCGAATTATTCCTCATCCTGAAGAAATTTTGTCAGATGTTTCATCATTAGGCAAGCCACAAATTTTCTTATCCATGATAAATAGAACAGTAATAAAAACAGAATTGACCATTACATCTTTAGAACTTGTAGTCTTGTTGGCAATTTTGAAAAGGCATACTTGAAAAAAAAATTATAATGACTTTAAAAATAAGTATTGGCAACTTCGTATAAACTAGTCTCTTGGCAAAAGGTTAGTAATCTTTAGCAAAACATTTTGCAATGACTGTTGTCCCAATATCAGAAAAGTACCTAAATTTCTTCTAAAAAAATTTAATTGTATGTATATATTAAATAACTTGTATTGTCTAGATATTGAATGAACTGCTGATTTATCATTTACCATAGTCAACTTCATTTTATGGATGTTTTTAATAGTTGGCAACAAATCACACTTCTATAAGAACGAATTACTCAATTGTTTTCTCTTGACAAGGCTATGACAGAAGACAAATACAGGAGGCACTGCTTTATGTGATCATGTTCCCCCATGATCATTTTGATACAGTACAAGTCCAAGATTCGGAATTTCAGAAATTCTACGATTCCAGATTTCAGAAATTTGTGGATTTTATATAATCAGCATGAATTCAGTAAAATGACCTGAGGACAAGGCAAATATTTGGGGCTCTGTGACTTGTGTAGGGCAGATAAAAAATGCTAACTCTCTCACAACCATTCAAGAAGTATGATTTTAGCCAACATTAATATGTCATAAGATAAAATGACACGCCAACAAACATTTATTTAGAAGCCAAACAACAAAAATCAGCTTTATATTTGCGGTTTTACCAAACCATCATACTCAGCTGCTAAAGTGCTTTTTGCACTTTGGCAGCTCAGGATGATGGTTCAGTAAAACCATCGAAACTAGTCCTGTGAAAATTTGCAAATATAACACTGATTTTTGTTGTCTGGCTTCTAAATTAATATGTAAATCAATTCATTGTCACTGGCCACAGCACCATTCCACATAGCCACGAGGTGTTTGAAAGTGGAAATCTCAGTCAGTGGGGAGAAAAATCCCATTCAGGGTGCATCTGCTTTCCCTCACTGAATATTACATTGTTCATCCCTAGAATTTGTAAACAGGGAGAAAAATTTTTTCTTGTTATTTTAATTTTATTTATATATGTACTTATTGGACTGGTGGTCCAAAGCTCCCAGTATTAGATCAGATATATTGGATATCTGGATTTCAGACTTTACACTGTAATAACAAAATAATAGTATCAAATGATGAGAAAATATATCCTTGAAAATAAGAATGGAATTTAATTAATCTATATATAAAAATATCAAGAAACATATAAATAAGTATTTTCACAGCATTTTAATTAGTAAAATGCAAAAGTTCATTTATAAACTATCGTATATACCTGTGTATAAGTCGATCCCCCGACTTTTGAGAAACATTTTCAGAAAAACAAATTTGTTGCATGAGCAGTGTTGGTGCCACCAATAAAATGGCATACTGATGTACTTGAAAAAATTACACTCACACTTTAGCAATTTTTTGTTTATTTCCATTTAGCACATGATAAAATTTTTAAATATGTATGTAATTTTCAAGGAATTTCATTTGAATCCTTTAAATTCTGATTTGATCTGTCAGCACTATCCTTATCTTCAGAGCAGATGTTTTTATTTTATTTGGCTTATAATTCCTTACTAAATGCAGTAATTCATCTCAATGTAATCCGTCTTTGATATGATTTAAATCAAATTCCTCGTCATTATAATTCGCTTCCGATAGCAAAGAAAGTGACACAGAGGTTATTGAAAACGAAAAAATTTCGATTGACAAATTAGTTGGTATTCTCCACACAGCAATTATAGGACTCGAAAAGCGGAACTTTGTAACTGAACAAGAAATTATGTCTGTTTATAGAATTAAAGAGAAATTATTATCCCATAAAAAACGAAGCAACTTAAACAACTTACATTGAAAGAAATGTTTAATAAAGTAAACAAATAAATATTAAGCTTTTTTTTATTTATTTATTTATTTATTTATTTGTAAATTTTGATACCTTTTACATCATAATTGTTCTTTATTTCATAAATTACGGTTTCATATTTTTAATTTTATAATTTCTGCATGCCATCTTACCAGATTTAAACTGATGATCTATAATCTGGAATCACCGAAGTCCCAACGAGTCCGAATTAACGAATTTTGACTGTAGTCTATTTTGACTTTATTTGGTGGCTCTGTTTAAAAAATTTATTCTGTACTATTTCGATTATATTAACCAACTTGATCACAGAAAGCAAGGTACTTTCCATACTGTCAAATGCAAATAGAACTTCGACAAATCAATAACAATATCTGAAAGATAACATTAACTGTGACTGCATTAAGTGGTCTATTATGCAGAGAATATTATTATGAAGGATTCAAAATGCATTATCAATACCTTAAACATTTAAGACCAACAGTTTATAATTTTTATAATTTTTCATTATTAAAATGAGATACAACTGAATAAAGAATTAATTAAATACATTTTGATAAACTATGTGCCGTAACACAGTTTTACTTACTATACCTTCACAATAATGTCTTCATATTCTGCACATTGCTCAGAGGTAACATTTTCATCTGCCATCATCTTTTCCAAATGATCTATAATAATAATAGTAGTAATAAAAATAAAGGGAAATTAATAGTTAAAACAAGCATCATTATGTTAAAAATTAGTAGGAATTAATCTAAAAAAATTATTTATTCAAAAACTAATGCTTAGGAATTTACATAGTTTCGCATTTGAAAATAGAAATATCCTTATTTCACTAATTCTAATTTTTGTACTGTTATATCTTAAGACAACATGGTTGTCTTACTGATTATCAAAATAATAAAACATACATATTTTCAGCAATTAAATTTAAACAATCAAACTTTGTTTAATTTAATTTAGCTCAAAAATAAAAAAATTAGTTTACTGGAAATTAAACAAGAAATGAAAGCGTAAATGAAAAATAAAAATAATAAAAATTCAAGAAATTCTTTCATTTGTTTTATTTACTATGAGATCAGACAGTAACTGCTTTTGCAATTAATATCTAAAATACGGATTGTGCTGGTGATCTTTTTTGTTTCGAAAGACATAATTCATAAAGAATGCATTCCTGAAGGGAAGAACACTCCATATTTTATTAAGGCAAAAAAAAGGCATGTTTCTAGACAGAATTCAGCACATTAGGTCTGAAAAAGCTCACTTAAATATATTTTTATTATACAATAATGTGGTGCCACTCAGCTCCTGCTAAATAATATGTAGCCCACCCCCCCAAAAAAACACCATTAAATTTCTGAGACATCCTCCTTATTCACCAGACTTGTTATTTGCAGACTACTTTATCTTCCCTAAAGTTAAGATTCAATTTAAAGGTTGTTACTTTAATAGCACTGAAGTGAGTCAGAAAATTGTAACCAGACTTGAACAGTATTCCAAAAAATGAGTTCTACAAAAGAATCAAGCAGTTGTATCAGTATGTCAAGTACTTTATAACCTTACAAGGATTGTATATTAAAAAGAACGAAGCAAGAATGTTATTTTTTAGACTTTCAGTTTTGTACAAACTTAGTTCTTCCATACCATTCCATCATTCACGTTTTCTCCATACACATCGCTAATTTGATGATGAATTACAGCCGTTTTCATAGCTTTAGCATTAGAAAAGCAAATCACGACTAATTTTAAATCATGGACATATTCTCAGCGATAATTTATTAATAATAAAGTACAAATAATATTAATGTACATCACACATAGACTTACTCTTTATTAAATGATTTACTCTGAAGCATTCTCCATTTTTCAAATCTTTAACCATCACGTCAGCAAACCGGTCAACATGTCCAGAAGATCTTTGGAAAAAAATTGCAATGCTCTGTTACTATACAAGCCATTAATTAATTAACACATCTCAAAAGAGCATTCCAAACATACATAATTTTAAAATTTAAAGTAAATTTTGAAAAGTAATAAAGAAATATATTATTAAAACCATATCACAATCAGAATACAAAACCAAACATAATAAAATTAATTATGCATGGCTCTTCTAGCATGTAGTCTATTAAAAAAGTAATTAAAAAACAAAGATTTTATTTAAAACACACAATTGTGAATCTAGGTTTACAGTTCAGTCACATTTCTTTATATGTATATTTAATATTTATAAAAAATTTCAAAGAGAGATCAAAAAGCCCAACATGAAAGTTCTCAACAATCTTAGAATTAAAAGAAATATAGAGAGAGCTCCCAATTAAATCGGGTAGAGGTGGTTTAACTAAGTTGCATATTAACCAGGTCTGAGTTAAAAAAAGGTTAAGTATATTTTTTGCAAAAATTACTATCATAGGAAATTAATGTAAAGCAAAACTATGTATGAAAAATACATCCTATATAACTATGGAAAATATATACATAACTAATGGGAAATACATATAGGGAGGAAAATATGAAAATAATAGCAGTGACAGCAGATGCTGTCTACCAGACGATCTTTGCCTCCCTACCAAAGAAAAAAAGTTTTTTTTTTTTTAATCATGTTCAAACAATATCCTTATTTGAACTCAATAATGTTATTCAAGTTCGCTTAGGATTACATTTTTATAACTATCTATAACTTAGTTATTCTAATGATATTTATTCTTCTCTTATTTACAATGTGTTTTCAATGTTTACAATTTACAATGTGTTTTCAATATTTACAATGTTTAGTCTTTTGTACTTTAAATATAGATTTAATTTATGAAACCAAACAAATTTATTATTCTGATTAAAACTGCTTAAAAAACTGTTAATAGTTGATAAGTTGCGCATTAAACTTTTGAACGCACAGCTAATGTTTTTTAAGCACAATGCCCTTTATCTAGCACAGTTCAAAAAAATAAATAAATAAATAAAATAAGTCATATGCACCTATAAAATCCTTATTTAATAAGTAAATGAAATTTTTATATAAGCAGAACAAAAATTAAATCAACAATCTTCAGAGACATTGAAGTTGAAATGTTGGGAGGAAAAAATACTTATATAGATTAATTCATAAGCCTTACCTATTAGGTGGGTATTTTAAAAGTAGGATTACTTCCAAAGATGGGAGGTAGAATGACTGAAAGAAAACTAAGTAATTGAGACTGGCTTAGATACAGGGTCAATCCTGTCTCACCAATAAACAGCTTGGGATGCATTCCAATGATGCATCCCAGGTAAAATGTATCAAAAACATCTCAGGTATGCAAAAAAAGAGAAAAAAAAAACTATTCTAATAATAGTATTTTTATTAATTAGGTTAGTTATCTTTCACGAGCTTCTTTTTAACAGCCCTCAGATTAAGCAGTATTTTGACTTAAAAACATGAATGCTACTCTATTACTATCCCAGATAAATGGAAGATGATTGCACTTTTCTTCAATTTAATAATTTTTATTGCCATTTAAAATAGTGATTTACTCAAATAAAAAAATTTTAATGTGCATAGGCAATTAATATTTAAAACTATGGATACCTTCCCTAAAGTTTAATCTATAATATATAGGTTTTGTAACAAAACTGTAAATTTAGGATTTTTTTATATTTAAATTGAAATTGGTCCAATATGATATATTAAAAGAGAGGTGGAAAATTCTGCCATACTTATTAAAAAAAAAAATATTTAAAAAAAGTCTCTAAATCTGAAAATTCCAATCTTTTAAATTAGGAATTAAAAAAAAAAAAATTCTATTGGCTTGTCCAATAGAGCATAACATTTTTAATTTTATAAAATTAAAGTACCATAACTTTTTGCATAAGTGATAAACCATGTATTATCTTATGATTTACAAGATTTAAGCTACTTACTTTCCTTGTAAAAGTACTCGATTTAAGAAAAATCAAATGATTCAAGATAAATAAAAATAATTTGAAGGGTAAAATACAAATGTGCTTAGTCTGTCACACAAAATATTCCACTTCCACAGCTATTCATAGTCCACTTTTGCACTAAATTGTGAAACAAGTCTCTTTTGCTGGAAGGTCAGCAAGAAACAACTCCTGCACATGAGTAATTTTGTATGGATAGCAATGCAAGACGTTTTGTAGAATTTTACGCACTGTGCTAACAGGCATGTCCAAAGTTTGGGCAATTGCCCGTGCCTGGCACAGTTGCACACCACTGCTCAACTTGACTCCTACAATGCTATGGCCACTCCTTCAACTGACGTTGAATCAATTCTTTTCCTTCCTCTACCAGATTACACATCAAAAGAACCTGTCTTTTCGAATTTCTGAATCATTTTCTCCAGACCCACAGCAGTAGTTGGACCAATGCTTTTTTTCATACTCTTGAGTGTCCAAAGCTACGGACGCACAGTCATCGCTTTTGTAAAAAAGCTTTACAAGCATGTTATGATCCTTCATTGAGACAGTCATGGTGAACTTTTCAAAAGCAAAATGAGAAAAAGAATCAAACCAGATTATTGTGTGAATATCGCACATAGCACAACGTATTTGGATTAATGACAAGTATTGCCATGAAGGTGTATAACATAATTGCAATCATGAAAGGATGAGGAAAAGTCATGTACCCAGCATTTTTTTTATAACAACTGCAATGAGTCGTGCATATGACAGGCATTTTCATTTACATATTCTGATGCTTTCAGCGCCATCTATTGTTAAAATCTTTAACTATTTATTTTTCTACTACCATATGTTTTCTGCCTTCTTTGATAATATTCCATTCAAATTTGACGTCATTCTGATCAGTGATTCCTTTTTTACAGTGTTTTGAAATTTAAACTTTAATTATAATCACTCTGTATATACAGTACAAAGTCCAAGATTTGGAACTGTTGAGACTTCCGCAATTCTGGATTTCATATTTTAAGGGAAGTAAAATTTAGAAACAGCTAAAGCTCAATACAACTTTTTGTTGTTTGACTTCTGAATTAGCTCAATACTAACATTCGCTTTGTTTCAAGAATTATTTTTTCAACATAAGTTGTATAAGAAATTTAATTTTATTTGCTAATACTTTCTCTATAAAGAGACAATTTCTTGTTCAGTTGCAAAATTTCATAGTTTGAGTTCTATAATTGCAATTTCAAAAATTCAAGTAAGATAATCAAGTAAATAATCAAATAAAATTTTGAAGTAATTTTTTTTCCATTCAGAGCATTTCTTTATCTTATTCTCATTATCAACTGTGATAGAAATAATACTATATTACAGGTTTTCTTATCTGTTAATTGATTGATGACAGTGAGACATTATCACTGCAATGACTTCAGCTATATCATCTTCATTTAGCCTTTCTTCCCATATTCTATCATTCAGAAAATTTTATGATTCTCTACTATCAAAGTTCCCCCCCCACACACACACAGGTGTGTGTGTGTGTATTTCTGTGGTACTAGGCATCTCACCTGGTTTCTTTCCTGACATATTTTCTATCTAGCATTTTATTTATTATTTTTTAATTTTATTTATTTATTTATTTATTTATTTTAAACTCAGACAGATTTTCATGATTTTGGTTTGCCAAGAGATGACAAATGACTGTACTATTTATTTCTTTAAGAAAGAGGCTACTGCACAAAAATGACTTGATTTGAATAACTACCTCTTGAAATTAAAATGTGATGTAAAGTAAATTATGATATTTTCTCCTATTTCTGCTTAAAGCAGATTTTGCCATCTGTTAAGTAACCCACTGGGACCTTCTCATTGCAATGGAAGACCTCAATTATATCATCTTCATTTAGCATAATTTATGATGTTATCTGAAAACTTTTTAATTGGCAACTATCATTGAAAAATATAGCAGCTGGCTATAAAAAAAAACTGGCACAGCACTTTTTGGTACCCTAGTATGATTGGCACCCCATATAAATAAAACATACTCATAATTCAAAATAAAATATACCTTTACCTAATTGTAACTGTCCCCTTGATGGCTAATTTAACTAAGAGCCTGGGCAGCTAGTTAAATTAAGCCACGTATGGAAGCATTTTTTAAAATATCTGTAAAATTGTTCTCTCATGACCTTGCAATGCTCCACTCTCAAATTTAATTATTTCAAGAATTCTAGAATGGTTTTACTGATGCCTTGATTTAAAAAAGGCTATCTACATTTCAAGCATGCATTCCAATATTCAATGGCTTAATGATGATGTAAAGTTTCAAGGAAACCAAAACTTTAATTTTGATGAGATAACAGTGATAATGAGAATAGACAATGAAATAATAAGCAGTCCCTGCTATACCGGCAAAAGGAAACCAGTATGTGCAACAATTCACTCCATCTTTCGGGGTTCATGTCAATGTACAGGACTAAATAAGATAGAAAATTGTTGTCGTTCACAACCTTTTAAAAGCCGAAAATGTGATTCACTAGCCACCAGATGTTTAAGGTCGAAATACAATCTGAATGATACAATATTATAATGAATAATGTTTTTTGGGGGGAGGGTACTCGACTTATCAGGACAAAAGTCAGTTTATGATACACTTGCCTTTACTTGACTATCATATCCCTTTTTACACTATGTGAGAAAAAGGAAAATTTAAAAAAAAAAAAAAAAAATAATGAGAGGTCCACATAACACATCATTTTGCTTATTGGACATGTGTTTTCAAACTATGTACAGTATTATCTGGAGTGAGAAATTGTAAGCCTGGTAAATAAATTTTTGTTAATACTTGCTTTAAAACATTTTCAGGTGTTAGACTTGAACAACAAGCTTCTAACATGTCGTCTTCTTTAACAAAATGAGATCTCCAAAGAGCCAGAATATTGTTTTGCATTTTAACTCCCAAATCACCAAAATCAAGCAGCCCGGCAACACCTAAAAAAATCAAATGTTTACATTACTAAATTCAACAAACAAACATAATAATAAAAGATCCCCGGGATTCTTAAATGATGAAACTGAAGAGATAAATGCTGCTGATCCTTCAACAACATGAGTCCTAATTATGAATTTTATTTAAATTACATTTTCTCCCTAAATAAATATAAGGAAAAACATTCTGGATATTAGTTAAAACTCATTATGAAATTATACAAACATCAGCAGACTTATGATATGGGAAGCTCACTACATTCAAACTTCTGAAGGCTTCTTAATTTATGAGACAAAATATGTCTACTACTTTTTACCCTTCTTTTCTATGAATGTGGAAAGCTGATATGGAGTCACCTCAGAATGAAGGGTGTCTCGAGATAGTACCTTATGTGACCTATAAATCCACCTTTGTGTGCAGTATGTAAACATTATAAAATTATGAAAAAGTTTATGTGATAAATATATCAAATACATGTAAGTTTATTTACCTTTTATTAACATGAAATATACAAAGACATTTAAGAAAAACACTCATTTTTGATGTCTAGTGCTAGTAATACTTGTAAAATTTATACATTGTTTTTCAGCATAAGGCAGTATTGATCCAGATATTTGAAATATATTTAGAAGATGTACATTTAAATATCAATAACATTAATTTTTTGAAAAAGGGACATTTAGCATTAATTTTAAAATAGTGATTAAATGTATTTTATCTTATGATGATTTTTAAGCCATATTTTCTTTTTAACTTACTTTATAATTGAACAATAGAGCATCTACAACATAAAGCATGCAAAGTCAGTTATTTCACCGATACGCATAAACAGGGATTGAATTTATTTTAAAAAATCTAGCTGAAAAAAAAAACAAATTCTTGTTACCACCCCTTTACTCCCACCCTCCAAAATAATAAAAACTTACTAGTATTAGTCACTCTTAACAAACATTTTACACGTCCTCTCAGCTGCATTCTCATCCAACTTATGCTTCAGACACTTTTTGGTTGTACCACTATTTCATACAATCAAAAGTCGTTAATTCGGACACCCATAATTCAGAATGATCTATAATCCGGACCCCAAAGCTACAAACTTTCAGCGCATGCGTCGCGTTGACGCATGCGCAGAAGACCTTTAGGGCTGCGAATATGTGTGTGTGCATGCGCAAAATAAGTTTACGAATGCGCGTTTAATGTATAACGGACGGTATAAGCTAAGCTAAAATTATCTAATTCAGTTAATGTTGCAGATTGCGTTGTTCCTTAATCTTCAAATTGGATTCAGCTTATTATTTTTTGCAGACTGTTAGAGCAATTTTATAAAAGTAAGCTTGAACTTTCGATTATGTCAAATAGAATTTCTGATATATATTTACTAATATGTAAAGGATCAACAAAGCGAAAGTATGTTTCGAAGTCCATTAAACAAAAAGTGGAATTGCTGCAAAAAATGGATAAAGGCATATCCTTTGTTTGTCTTTAACACCGCTGCGCGCAATGAATTGGAAGTTGATCTGTCAGCACTATCCTTATCTTCAGAGCAGATGTTTTTATTTTATTTGGCTTATAATTCCTTACTAAATGTAGTATTTCATTTCCATGTACTCCGTCTTTGATATGATTTAAATCAAATTCCTCATCATTATAATTCGCTTCCGATAGCGAAGAAAGTGACAAAGGTTATTGAAAACGAAAAAATTTCGATTGACAAATTAGTCGGTATTCTTGACACAGCAATTATAGGACTTGAACAGTGGAACTTTGTAACTGAACAAGAAATTATGTCTGTTTATAGAATTAAAGAGAATGTATTATCACATGAAAAACGAAGCAACTTAAACAACTTACATTGAAAGAAATGTTTAATAAAGTAAACAAATAAATATTAAGCTTTTTTTTGGTAAATTTTGATACCCTTTAGATCATAATTGTTCTTTATTTCATAAATTACGGTTTCATATTTTTAATTTTATAATTTCTGCATGCCTTCTTACCAAATTTAAACTGATGATCTATAATCCGGAAAAATCGATAATCCGGAATCGCCGAAGTCCCGACGAGTCCGGATTAACGACTTTCGACTGTATTATTGTTTTGTTTCCAAAAATCCAATAATTTATACCTTTTTTTTGGGCTGAAAGTCTATTAGTGAATGTCCATTGAGTTTAATCATCATACAGTCATTAAATGTCATGTTGTCTATGCATGTTTTGAGATCAATCTTAATGATATTTATTTGGCTGAAACCTCATTCACAAGATGCTGTGGATCATAAAACTGCGACTATTGACAATAAGTGGCTGAGAAAAGGAAATCTGTCTGTGTGTGAATTTGCTTTGAAAGCAATCTATGCTTTCTGCATCCTGCCCGAAAATTTTAAACTCATTCTTTTAATAAAGATTTCCAGTGTTTCTCTTCAGAAGCTTCGGTTTGAAATGACAGATATCCTTCAAAGTGATTGCACAAAGTCACAATTTTATCCTTTCCATAGCTTTCCAAATTATCATCAATCCACAATGAAAGTGTCAAAGACAGTGTTTGTCTTTACAACACCCACACTTCATCCTAGAAAGCATTTCTTAAGGTACTTTATTCCATGTGAAATTATTTTCTGATTGTCTGAATCAAAAATCTGACTATCAATATATGTATGCTGAATGTTCCTAAACTTCTCACTAATAGCAGTTGAATTGATAAACTGTTGTCCATATGTGCCTGTTTTAAATTCCAAGTCATTCAACTTTGTCACCACCTTATCTATTCGAACTTCTACCCTGCTTAAAATCGTGAACACTCTGATTTAAAAGTCAGAGCAAATTCCTTGATTATGGAAAGAAAATCTAGAAGAAATGTAAAGTTAAGACAAATTGAAAGCTTTTTATTGGCTTCAACTATCCTCTGGCCATAGCAGCATCCTTACCCTTTTCGTGTCACATTTTCTAAAGGAACAACCACATCATAATCTCTACATATAATAAAAGAAAGAGTCTGTCTGTCTGTTTGTCTTTAGTTCATGCTGTGAGTAAGCCAATAGACTCAGGGCTGCGAAATTCGGTACATAGGTGCATCTAGACAAGAGCCAGTGCACCTTGAAGCGATTTTTTTTTTCAAAATTCAAATCAGATTTGTTTTTATCTTTTTTGATGAAATCGCATCATTTTGAACAGTTTCATTCTTTTAAAAATGTGGTTTTGGCAACAATTTTAATTCAATGCTTTGTATGCTGGACTGCTGACTGTTGAAAATATGGGATAAAATGCTGCTTATTTTCTTTTGATTTATGGACATGCAACACGTACATCACAATCTTCTTATTTTGACATGCATGTGTCTCACGAGGCACAGCAGAAATAATTTTTTTTTCTCTCTCCCTCTCTCTTTATTACCTAATGGCAAAGAAGTTGTCGTATTTTGAATTATGTCATCCACAAAGCAGAATTTTGATTGGTTATTGCTTTCTGATGATAGTTCTTTTAGAAATGTGGTTTTGGCAACAGTTTTTCATTCATTACTTTGGATACTGGACTGCTGACTGTTTTCTCTTGAAAATACGAGATTTATTGCTTATTTCATTGTAATTTTTTTATATTATGTTTTAATTATATGTGATTTTAATTATATAAAAAGTTTTACATGGTTTTTTTTTTTTTTTTTAAGGAAACAAAATTCTTAACTTTCTTTATACCACTCGAATTCTTAAGATGAAACACAGATGAACACAGATGTAGGAAATGAAAGGATGTAGGAAATGAAACACAGATGTAGACCTACCTTTCTGTTGTCAATGAATTGACCGATGAAAAGCGGAGAAACAAAGAATACAGTCTTTCAGTTGTCCTAGAGTCTCAGTGAGCCCACTTTGGGAACACATGAGGTTCACCGTTCGATTTTAGGCAAGATTTCAAGGTAAAAATTTAAAACTAATATAGAATAAGGAGATTAGCACACAATCAAAAAAATAACATAGAACTTTCATTTCAAAACAATTTTTTTTATACCTTAAAAATTCTGGAAGATTTCTTTGAAAAATGAGGGTCTTAAAAAACTAAACATGGCTAAAATATATGGATTGGTTTGTGTTGAGCTGCCATCTACTATAAATAAAGAAGGTTCAGAGTAACCTATAAATCCTTTTTCATTTAATTTTTTCTGTGCATACAATTTTTAGGTGTACCCAGACCGTACACACCATGCCACAGAGGGTTAAAGTACAGCTTATTGAGATTATAATTTTTTTAATGTTTTAATTACATTTCACTGCATTATATCTTGGACACTATTTTACTTGAGAGGGCGTTGCACATAAACAAGAATGGCACCAAAAAATTGCTAATTTTCGACAAGGGGTACCCTGAAGTATATAATGACATCTTCAGATGGACAAGTACAGTCAAAAGTCGTTAATCCGGACTCGTCGGGACTTTGGCGATTCTGGATTATCGATTTTTCTGGATTATAGATCATAAGTTTAAATCTGGTAAGATGGCATGCAGAAATTATAAAATTAAAAATATGAAACTGTAATTTATGAAATAAAGAACAACTATGATCTAAAGGATATCAAAATTTACAAAAAAAAAAAGCTTAATATTTATTTGTTTACTTTATTAACCGCTTCCTTTACAAATTTTTTTGAAAAAAATTGCAAAAATCATCACATTTTTTTTATTTTATTATTAAATATAACAAATGAAACATATCAAAATATGTAGGTTAAACATATCAAAATAAGTTGAATTTTTTATTTTTTGAAGGTGTAAAAGCATTTATTTTTAATATCAGTTTACTATCCCGAGTTATCTCAGGCAAATGGAAAAAAGTGATATATTAATCTTTGTATGATAGTTTTTGAAACAAGGGACAACACAGAGTGATACCTGACATTTTACACTGGTATCTGGTCCTTTTCTTACTGGCTTACCGCTGGAATCTCTTTCACGGGAGTACAGAGTACACTGTCTTGTTGGATTTGATATTTTTAAAAAAAATTTTTTCCACT